ACCTAATATTTACTTTATGTTATGCTAGCTACCTAATATTTACTTTATGTTATGCTAGCTACTATCTTTTTAGTTTATGCTAGCTACCTAATATTTACTTTATGTTATGCTAGCTACTATCTTTTTAGTTTATGCTAGCTACCTAATATTTACTTTATGTTATGCTAGCTACTATCTTTTTAGTTTATGCTAGCTACCTAATATTTACTTTATGTTATGCTAGCTACTATCTTTTTAGTTTATGCTAGCTACCTAATATTTACTTTATGTTATGCTAGCTACTATCTTTTTAGTTTATGCTAGCTACCTAATATTTACTTTATGTTATGCTAGCTACTATCTTTTTAGTTTATGCTAGCTACCTAATATTTACTTTATGTTATGCTAGCTACTATCTTTTTAGTTTATGCTAGCTACCTAATATTTACTTTATGTTATGCTAGCTACTATCTTTTTAGTTTATGCTAGCTACCTAATATTTACTTTATGTTATGCTAGCTACTATCTTTTTAGTTTATGCTAGCTACCTAATATTTACTTTATGTTATGCTAGCTACTATCTTTTTAGTTTATGCTAGCTACCTAATATTTACTTTATGTTATGCTAGCTACTATCTTTTTAGTTTATGCTAGCTACCTAATATTTACTTTATGTTATGCTAGCTACTATCTTTTTAGTTTATGCTAGCTACCTAATATTTACTTTATGTTATGCTAGCTACTATCTTTTTAGTTTATGCTAGCTACCTAATATTTACTTTATGTTATGCTAGCTACTATCTTTTTAGTTTATGCTAGCTACCTAATATTTACTTTATGTTATGCTAGCTACTATCTTTTTAGTTTATGCTAGCTACCTAATATTTACTTTATGTTATGCTAGCTACTATCTTTTTAGTTTATGCTAGCTACCTAATATTTACTTTATGTTATGCTAGCTACTATCTTTTTAGTTTATGCTAGCTACCTAATATTTACTTTATGTTATGCTAGCTACTATCTTTTTAGTTTATGCTAGCTACCTAATATTTACTTTATGTTATGCTAGCTACTATCTTTTTAGTTTATGCTAGCTACCTAATATTTACTTTATGTTATGCTAGCTACTATCTTTTTAGTTTATGCTAGCTACCTAATATTTACTTTATGTTATGCTAGCTACTATCTTTTTAGTTTATGCTAGCTACCTAATATTTACTTTATGTTATGCTAGCTACTATCTTTTTAGTTTATGCTAGCTACCTAATATTTACTTTATGTTATGCTAGCTACTATCTTTTTAGTTTATGCTAGCTACCTAATATTTACTTTATGTTATGCTAGCTACTATCTTTTTAGTTTATGCTAGCTACCTAATATTTACTTTATGTTATGCTAGCTACTATCTTTTTAGTTTATGCTAGCTACCTAATATTTACTTTATGTTATGCTAGCTACTATCTTTTTAGTTTATGCTAGCTACCTAATATTTACTTTATGTTATGCTAGCTACTATCTTTTTAGTTTATGCTAGCTACCTAATATTTACTTTATGTTATGCTAGCTACTATCTTTTTAGTTTATGCTAGCTACCTAATATTTACTTTATGTTATGCTAGCTACTATCTTTTTAGTTTATGCTAGCTACCTAATATTTACTTTATGTTATGCTAGCTACTATCTTTTTAGTTTATGCTAGCTACCTAATATTTACTTTATGTTATGCTAGCTACTATCTTTTTAGTTTATGCTAGCTACCTAATATTTACTTTATGTTATGCTAGCTACTATCTTTTTAGTTTATGCTAGCTACCTAATATTTACTTTATGTTATGCTAGCTACTATCTTTTTAGTTTATGCTAGCTACCTAATATTTACTTTATGTTATGCTAGCTACTATCTTTTTAGTTTATGCTAGCTACCTAATATTTACTTTATGTTATGCTAGCTACTATCTTTTTAGTTTATGCTAGCTACCTAATATTTACTTTATGTTATGCTAGCTACTATCTTTTTAGTTTATGCTAGCTACCTAATATTTACTTTATGTTATGCTAGCTACTATCTTTTTAGTTTATGCTAGCTACCTAATATTTACTTTATGTTATGCTAGCTACTATCTTTTTAGTTTATGCTAGCTACCTAATATTTACTTTATGTTATGCTAGCTACTATCTTTTTAGTTTATGCTAGCTACCTAATATTTACTTTATGTTATGCTAGCTACTATCTTTTTAGTTTATGCTAGCTACCTAATATTTACTTTATGTTATGCTAGCTACTATCTTTTTAGTTTATGCTAGCTACCTAATATTTACTTTATGTTATGCTAGCTACTATCTTTTTAGTTTATGCTAGCTACCTAATATTTACTTTATGTTATGCTAGCTACTATCTTTTTAGTTTATGCTAGCTACCTAATATTTACTTTATGTTATGCTAGCTACTATCTTTTTAGTTTATGCTAGCTACCTAATATTTACTTTATGTTATGCTAGCTACTATCTTTTTAGTTTATGCTAGCTACCTAATATTTACTTTATGTTATGCTAGCTACTATCTTTTTAGTTTATGCTAGCTACCTAATATTTACTTTATGTTATGCTAGCTACTATCTTTTTAGTTTATGCTAGCTACCTAATATTTACTTTATGTTATGCTAGCTACTATCTTTTTAGTTTATGCTAGCTACCTAATATTTACTTTATGTTATGCTAGCTACTATCTTTTTAGTTTATGCTAGCTACCTAATATTTACTTTATGTTATGCTAGCTACTATCTTTTTAGTTTATGCTAGCTACCTAATATTTACTTTATGTTATGCTAGCTACTATCTTTTTAGTTTATGCTAGCTACCTAATATTTACTTTATGTTATGCTAGCTACTATCTTTTTAGTTTATGCTAGCTACCTAATATTTACTTTATGTTATGCTAGCTACTATCTTTTTAGTTTATGCTAGCTACCTAATATTTACTTTATGTTATGCTAGCTACTATCTTTTTAGTTTATGCTAGCTACCTAATATTTACTTTATGTTATGCTAGCTACTATCTTTTTAGTTTCTGCTAGCTACCTAATATTTACTTTATGTTATGCTAGCTACTATCTTTTTAGTTTATGCTAGCTACCTAATATTTACTTTTTGTTATGCTAGCTACTAAATATTACGTTTATGCTAGCTACCTATTATTTACTTTATGCTAGCAAACAGAATACATAAATAAAAAGTGTTTTAAAACAATAACAATAACCATATACAGTATGTAGTTCATGCTAGCTACCTAATATTTACTTTATGCTACCTAATGTTTAGTTCATACTAGCTACAGGCTACACACGTGTTTACCAGCCCGTCACGTAGAACCTCGTAACTATTTTTGTTTTGACGCTTTTCAAAACAAATGTATTATCATTCTTTAACAATCAGGAAAAATGGTGAAGAAATGACCACGTGCTTTTGGCTTGTGTCTATTATTTTCAAGAAGACTGTTAAAGATTTTAGCTGCAAAAATCTGAAATATACTGCCTCTTCATGCGCTAACCACTGCTGCATATGAAATGAAATGAACCTTGTAAATATTATGTGTGTTCTTTCCACTGCTCTTTCATAGAAGATTTAAGACAAGGCAGGTTTATTTGTGTTGCACACTTCATACACAATGCAACTCAAAATCAAAATCATTCAAATCCTAAATAATCACAGTACATTAAAAAGAGTGAAGATACAAGCCTTGCTCCATCCATCCATCCATTTTCTACCCTTTAATCCATTTCTGGGTCAGGGGGGTGGCAGTCAGAGATGCCACCCAAGTCTCATAGCACCAGCCCCTCACTGACCCTCTGCAGGTGGTGAGTCCACAGGAGGACGGCTGCTCTCTGAGTGTGAGCATAGCCTTGATCTTTCAGTGGGGGCTTTGGGCAAAGTGGGGTTAAGTGTCTTGCCCAAGGACACAACGACAGCAGTCATCAGTGGGAGTCGGTGGAGAAGGTGCAGAGGTGGGAATTGAACCCACGACCTTCTGGCCTTAAGGCCAATGCTCTACCAACTGAGCTACTGTCGCCTTGCTGTTGGATTTAATTCGAACTTTGTCATAGAAGTGGCCTGTCTTACATTTTCAGGAAGACTGTTCCAGATTTTAGCTGCGTAAATCTGAATCACTGCCTCTCCATGTTTATCCCTGACTCTAGGGACCAGCAGGAGCCCAGAGTCCCTCTGCTCGTCACAGATGTACTTTGGTGCGAGGCCATGGGGAGACTTCAGAAAGTATAACAGGTCATATATCTCTACATACTTTAAAAAGGAGCGACATATTAAAGCTGGGGTACCTAACCTTCAAACCACACTAATCTGTACTGTGTATGTACTTATAACTAGACCTCACTCTTAAATCAGATCTATCACAAGTTTTCACCTGCATGTATATTTGACTTATTAGCTGTTACATTTTTAAGCTTTTCAGACAGAGATGTGAAAAAGAGAAAACCCCCTCACTCAGCTACTCAGCCCAAATGATCAAATAGTGACACATGGATCTATAATAATGGGACTCACAGAGCTCTTATAATGCAGACCGATTACTCCGCAAATGTTTACTTAGATAAAGATCTTTCATTCGTCCCACAGTGGGGAAATGTCAGTGTTGCATCACCAGTTGGACAACAGTAGGAATGAGTAGCACAAGATAAGTGAACAATAACTCTACATTAAATTGAAATAAATCATCTAACTTTAGCATATTATAAAATACTGTATATTCTAGTGCAAGAAGTACATGTTAGCAGCATGACAGTGGACACATGTGGTCCTATAATACACATTCATTCTGACATTATAACAATAATAATAATTTGAATAAATAGTTTAGATATACTGCAGCTCTGATGTTACTGTTAGAAAATTAGCAAATTCTTCTGCTCTTTGCTGCAGTCGGTGAACTCTTGCATGGAACACACGGGTGCAAAGTTCAGTTTAGTTCAGAATTGCTTTGTGGACTTGCAGGTTTTGCTGTTGTGGAGATGAGCCTGACCGCGGAGAGCCACTCTGTCCCTCTGAGCGACGGGAACCGGATTCCCCTCATCGGCTTGGGCACGTATGGAGACCCCAGGACGGTGAGACCACACACCTGAAGATTTGGCGTTTTAATTTTACTCTGATTCTGTAATGCATGTGTAGCATAGACTGTCTACAGATGGACAATGCTAACCTGCTAGCACTACTCTATCAGTCAAACGCTTGTATGTTAGTGGTTTTAAAGCTAACTAGAGGCACTGAACAACAATTTACACTCAAAATAAATTAAATATAAAACATAAAACAATAATATTTTGTTATGGATGGGAGCTGTTCTGCCTCAGTACCTTTTTAATGAATACACTCTGCTTTAAAGGATTCTCTGAGATTCACAAACTCAAAATGCTCTGAACTTTATACATATTTGTCTAATGTTACGAAGTGACTCACAGGTGCGGGAATGAATCCAAGATAACATGTTTTCTAATTAGATAAAGAGAGTATTTAAAGACTCGTTCTGTTGGGAAAAACAACCTGTATCATTAATGGCAGAAAAACAATACATTTACCACAACTGTTGCAATGATTACTGCAGTCAATTCATTTAGTCTTCAGTCTAAATGTTGTTGATTGACTCAGAATTGTTCATCAAAAAGATCTAGAACTGAGAGTTGAAACATGAGGGAATGTGTCTGGGATTTAACAACTATTCAGAGACCTTTAAAGACAGTGCTGGATGCTCTGTAGACACGCCAAAGTGTCACCAGCGGTAAAGACTACACTGGTTAAAGCATTCTGTACCTCCATGTACACTGCCCCCTTGTGGAGACTATAAAAGGGGCAGCCTCAGTGCTGGATCTACAGCCTCAGTCCTGGATCTACAGCCTCAGTCCTGGATCTACAGCCTCAGTCCTGGATCTACAGCCTCAGTCCTGGATCTACAGCCTCAGTCCTGGATCTACAGCCTCAGTCCTGGATCTACAGCCTCAGTCCTGGGTCTACAGCCTCAGTCCTGGGTCTACAGCCTCAGTCCTGGGTCTACAGCCTCAGTCCTGGGTCTACAGCCTCAGTCCTGGGTCTACAGCCTCAGTCCTGGATCTAAAGCCTCAGTCCTGGATCTACAGCCTCAGTCCTGGGTCTACAGCCTCAGTCCTGGGTCTACAGCCTCAGTCCTGGGTCTACAGCCTCAGTCCTGGGTCTACAGCCTCAGTCCTGGATCTACAGCCTCAGTCCTGGATCTACAGCCTCAGTCCTGGGTCTACAGAGTCCTGGATCTGAAGCGTCAGTCCTGGATCTACAGCCTCAGTCCTGGGTCTACAGAGTCCTGGATCTGAAGCGTCAGTCCTGGATCTACAGCCTGAGTCCTGGGTCTACAGCCTCAGTCCTGGATCTACAGCCTGAGTCCTGGGTCTACAGCCTCAGTCCTGGATCTACAGCCTCAATCCTGGATCTACAGCCTCAGTCCTGGATCTACAGCCTCAGTCCTGGATCTACAGCCTCAGTCCTGGACCTACGACCTCAGATCCAAGATATTTAAGGACATTTATGGACATTTATAACAATTTCTGAACAGCATTTCCAGTGTGTGAACTATTCTCTGATCTGTTGTTGGTGAATCAACAACTCAGAGACGACTGCTGCTGTGATTTACGGCGATACACAAACATATCTAATTGAATCATATGGTGTGTTCTAAATGATGTCTAATAACAACAACAATAATAATAAATATAACTCTATTTTGTGACACATTTAAGTAAAGACCATCTTAGCAGAGAAGGGGGTGTGGCCTGCTCCTCCATAGATCCTTTAATGATCTCGCTGTAATGTTCTCGCAGACTCCCAAAGGCACTGCGTACGACTGTGTGAAGTGGGCCATCGACGTGGGCTACAGGCATCTGGACGGAGCTCTGGTTTATTACAACGAGCACGAGGTCGGACGAGCCATCAGGGACAAGATCGCAGACGGGACAGTGACCCGGGACGATATCTTCTACTGCGGAAAGGTAACTAAATATATATGTCTCTTTTGAGCTTTTTCTCGTCAGTTTGGAGTTATGGTAGGTGGGAGGGGTTAACTCTTTTTGCAGATTGAAGTGATTGGATCTGAGTTTACTGTGACGTATGTAATGAGCCCGAGTGAGTGAGGTCTTTAGCATTTAGCCTAGCTTTAGCCATCTCCTTTGCCTCTAACCGAGCCCGTGGGGAGTAGGGCCACAACATCTTTGCAGCAATGACATTTACTAAACATTCCTCTTGCTCCGGCTTCAATTTCTTAATATTTGGAGTCGAATCAAAACAGATTACTTTACTATCGCATTTGCCGCCATTGCCAAACTACAACCAGCAAATTCAGTGCAAACTCTTGACAGTCTCTGTGATCCTGGTGTTTATATTATGATATTGTCGTTGTGAATCCAGGATTGACCAATCAGACGCCTTCATTCACGCAGTAGACTCCAGCTTGCCTTAGCAACCATCTTAGCAACACGCCTGGCCCTTTTACCGCACAAAGCCAACATTGTCGGAACAAATGCCCATATAAGGAAATTGGCTCCAGCTAGCTTATGTTCAAATCAGCTTCTTCCGCATTAAGGCTAACACTGTGGTGATGTCACACACTATAATATTTACTTCATGAAGAGAGATGGCTTTAATGAATGGATTGAACCAGTGGCATCGAAGGCAGAGAATCTATATTTCAACCAGAATCAATACTGCTCTCATTTGGCATATTTGTCTTCCTGTGTGCAGTTATGGTGCACGTTCCATCCTCCGGAGATGGTGCGACCGGCTCTGGAGAGGACTCTGAAGGCGCTGAAGCTGGACTACGTGGATCTGTACATCGTTGAACTGCCCATGGCTTTCAAGGTCGGTTTGTGAGACTGGACCTCCATCAAGTTTTGATATGAGAGGGAATCCATTGAGTCTTAAAAAGTGTTCAAAGTTGGCGCTAAATCTTGTGCAGCTTTTTTAATGTCTGCACACTCCAGACATACTTGAAGCCAATATGCCACAGAAATAGGGCCTCTTTTTGATGTGGGGCCTCTCACTGTGCTAGTATCTACTTCCGTCATCACCGTGTGTGGAATGATTGGAACAATATATGAACTCTGAACATTGTAAAGTGCTTTGGGTGACCTTGGTCTGTAAAATGCGCTATATACAGTATAAATAAACATTACTTACTTACTACAGTGGCTGTGGCTGTAAAGTGCCAAACTCCTGGTATGTCCTTAGGCAAGACACTTCACCTGCATTGCCTAGAATGAGTCTGGTGTGTGTGTGAATGGTTGGTGGTGGTGGGAGGGGCCGATGGCACAGACTGGTTTCCTCTCTTCTTCCAGTGTGCCCCAGGGCAGCTGTGGCTACAGAAGTAGTTTTCACCACTGTGGTTGGAGTGAAATAATACTGACATGTGAAGCAACTTTGAGTGTCCAAAAATGCGATATATAAAACCGATGCATGATTATTATGTTAGCAGCATGTGATACTACTGTACAATGGGGCTGGGAATTGGCAAAAATGTGATATTCACATAAACATATAAACATATTGTGATACAGCACGTAATGCCACATATTACTATTTGTGTCGCTCATTATTCATAGGAATTAGAAAAATATGAGACAGCTCGACTAAAAAAAAAGCACAGCACTTTATGACAGACGACTCTCACATGAAGGTGAGCTCCTGCATCACATTGTTCACATACAACAGACAAGAGTCACTACAAGCAGACATCACAGAGGAACATAGACCTCAGATGGAAATGACCAGAGTAAACTCAGAGAAAAGTGAAACAGATAATTATTGAATCATATATCACAGTACTTTGCTCTACTGTATGGTTTTAATTTCCTGAACAGAATGTGTTTCTTCTCCTCCACTACTGTCTACGTGAGCAGCATGAGGCTCTGTGCTTTAAGTAAAGTGACAGTGTGTGACATTTATGCACATAATAAATGAAAACTCAACTTGCAGCTGTTTGAGAAGTGAACTTCTGTCCTTTTCAGCCTGGAAAAGACTTTTATCCCGTGGATGAGAAAGGGAAGTACATCTACCACCACACAGACCTGTGCGCCACATGGGAGGTGAGTTAATGATCTCTGCTAAAACACGGCCAAGGCCAAACTCGTAGATAAGTTTCTTTTTAATTATGTGTAAATTGTGTGAGTGACCTGAACTTTGTGGATGTCTCTAAGAACTAAACAACATGAACACACCTGGCATAGAGTTCAATGGGTCTTTTCTAGAACAGTGAAACAAACATACATTTGTCATTTCAAAATCATTGTTTGCAGATGACTCTAATCTCAAAAACAGAAAAGTCTCCACCATCCATCCATCCATCCATCCATCCATTTTCTTCCGCTTTATCCGTTGCCGGGTCGCGGGGGCAGCAGTCTAAGCAGAGACGCCCAGACTTCCCTATCCACACACACCTCCTCCAGCTCGTCCGGGGGGACCCCAAGGCGTTCCCAGGCCAGCTGAGAGACATAGTCTCTCCAGCGTGTCCTAGGTCTTCCCCGGGGCCTCCTCCCGGTGGGACGTGCCCGGAACACCTCCCCAGGAAGGCGTCCAGGAGGCATCCTGAACAGATGCCCGAGCCACCTCAACTGGTTCCTCTTGACGTGGAGAAGCAGCGGCTCTACTCCGAGCTCCTCCCGTGTGACTGAGCTCCTCACCCTATCTCTAAGGGAGCAGCCACTCTGCGGAGGAAGCTCATTTCGACCGCTTGTATCCGCGATCTCGTTCTTTCGGTCATTACCCAAAGCTCATGACCATAGGTGAGGGAGGGAACGAAGATTGACCGGTAAATCGAGAGCTTTGCCTTTCGGCTCAGCTCCCTCTTCACCACAACGGTCCGATACAGAGACCGCATCACTGCGCACGCTGCACCGATCCGCCTGTCAATCTCACGCTCCATTCTTCCCTCACTCGTGAACAAGACCCCGAGATACTTGAACTCCTCCACTTGAGGAAGAACCTCTCCACCCACCTGAAGAGGGCAAGGCACCTTTTTCCGGTCGAGCACCATGGCCTCGGATTTGGAGGTGCTGATTCTCATCCCAGCCGCTTCGCACTCGGCTGCAAACCGTCCCAGTGCATGCTGCAGGTCCTGGTTCGTTGGAGCCAACAGGACGACATCATCCGCAAAAAGTAGAGATGAAATCTTGTGGTTCCCGAACCGGACCCCCTCCGGCCCCTGGCTGCACCTAGAAATTCTGTCCATAAATACAGTGAACAGAACCGGTGACAAAGGGCAGCCTTGGCGGAGGCCAACATGCACCGGGAACAGGTCTGACTTACTGCCGGCAATGCGAACACAGCTCTGACTCCGGTCATACAGGGACCGGACGGCCCTCAGCAGAGGACCCCGGACCCCGTACTCCCGGAGGACCCCCGAAAGGACACCCCGGGGAACACGGTCGAACGCCTTCTCCAGATCCACAAAGCACATGTGGACAGGTTGGGCGAACTCCCATGAACCCTCGAGTATCCGATGGAGAGTATAGAGCTGGTCCAGTGTTCCGCGACCGGGACGAAAACCACACTGCTAGGCCTGTCACGATAACAAATTTTGCTGGACGATTAATTGTCTCAGAAATTATTGCGATAAGCGATTATATTGTCGTTCTGAGATCATTTGCATCGATTACAATGATAATGTAGGTACACCTTTTCAAAGAGAAATAAAAAACTTTTATTTTTAACGAATATTTAACGCTAGAACACAATAAATTAACAACCAAAAACAATAAATAAAATAGACTCAGTCTCTTAACAAAAAATGACCAGGAATAAAACTGCCAAGACCTTTGTAAAGAAAATATGAAACAGATGCCTCAAATATCAATAATTTCTCAGACTTTATGGCAGATTACGAGAAAGAAATACCAACATGTTGACTTTGTGTGGCTTAAGACAGGATCTCTCAGGAGTAGTCCCACCTCCCCACACACCAGGCGAATGACAAGTGACTGACATGTGGGTTCACCAATGGGGCGTACAGAAGTCCTGCTGCGGTAGCGCCCACCGGAAGTAGCGGGGCGGGCTTTGATGCTAACAGCTAAGCTAGCGGGTTTTTTGTGTAAAGTTCTACTCCAAGAATGCAAGTCTGCAGCATCTCTGTGTTCAGAGACCTTCTAGAGACTTTATATAACAGCAGTATGTGTTCACGGAGGTGCGCCATAAGTTTATTTTATTGGTATGGTACGGTACTTCTGCATCGGCGAACACGCTAACGCTAGCTGCGCTAGTATAGTCACTAATCAAGCCTGAATGAGAACTCAGCTGCCGGCATATGTTCACAACTACTGTGTCCCCCATTGTCAATCCTGGTTAAGTCCTGGTTTAGGTCCTGTTTTGGCTGTATTTTGTATTTTTGAGTAATTTCCGTCTGCTTGCTAGACCGCTAGTGTTCCCGTGACCACTTTGCGGCTCTCTGACCCGAGAGAGACGGGGGAAACAAACAAGCATGCAAATGGGATTTATCGCGGCCAGAAAAGTTATTGAGCAAATTTTATTTATCGTGCGATTAATCGATTTATTGACTATCGCGACAGGCCTACACACTGCTCCTCCTGAATCCGAGATTCGACCATCGGAACGTAGCCTCCTCTCCAGTACCTTGGAGTAGACCTTACCGGGAAGGCTGAGGAGTGTGATCCCACGATAATTGGAACACACCCTCTGGTCCCCCTTCTTGTAGAGAGGGACCACCACCCCGGTCTGCCACTCCATTGGCACTGCCCCCGTTCGCCACGCGATACTGCAGAGACGTGTCAGCCAAGACAGTCCTACAACATCCAGAGACTTTAGATAGTCAGGACGGATCTCATCCACTCCCGGCGCCTTGCCACCATGGAGGCTGCCAACCACCTTGGTGACCTCGGCCAGGGAGATGGAAGTGTCCGCCCCAACATCCTCAGCCTCTGCCTCCTGGACGGAGGACGTGACGGGGGGATTGAGGAGAACCTTGAAGTATTCCTTCCACCGCCCGACAATATCCCCAGTCGAGGTCAGCAGCCCTCCACCCGCACCATACACGGCGTTGGCAAAGAACTGCTTCCCCCTCCTGAGGCGCCGGACGGTTTGCCAGAACCGCAGCCCGGGCCGCGGCACGTTTGGCCTGCCGGTACTGGACAGCTGCCTCAGGAGTCCCACGAACCATCATTGCTCGATAGGACTCCTTCTTCAGCCTGACGGCATCCCTTACTGCCGGTGTCCACCACTGGGTTCGGGGATTGCCGCCGGGACCAGCACCAGAGACCTTGCGACCACAGCTACGAGCCGCCGCATTGGCGATAGAGGAAGAGAACATGGTCCACTCGGACTCGATGTCCCCCTCCTCTGCCGGGACCTGGGAGAAGCTCTCCCGGAGGTGTGAGTTGAAAGTCCGTCTGACAGGGGGCTCAGCAAGACGTTCCCAGCAAACCCTCACTACACGCTTGGGCCTGCCAGGTCTGACCGGCCTCCTGCCCTGCCAGCGGATCCAACTCACGACCAGGTGATGATCGGTTGACAGCTCCGCCCCTCTCTTCACCCGAGTGTCCGAGACACGCGGTCGAAGGTCAGATGATACGACAACAAAGTCGATCATCGACCTCCGGCCTAGGGTGTCCTGGTGCCACGTGCACTGATGGACAACCTTGTGCTTTGGTGTTTGTGATGTTCGTGATGGACAGGCCGTGACTGGCACAGAAGTCCAACAACTGAACACCGCTCGGGTTCAGATCAGGGCCGTTCTTCCCGATCACCCCTCTCCAAGTGTCACTGGCATTTCCCACATGGGCGTTGAAGTCCCCCAGGAGAATAACGGAGTCCCCGGGCGGTGCACTGTCCAGTACCCCTCCCAAGGACTCCAAGAAGGCCGGGTACTCTGCACTACTGTTAGGCCCGTAGGCCGTCACAACAGTGAGAGACTTGTCCCCCACCCGGAGGCGGAGGGACGCGACCCTCTCATTCACCGGGGAGAACTCCAACACGTGGCGGCTGAGATGGGGGGCAATGAGAATGGCCACCCCAGCTCGCCGCCTCTCCCCGCGGGAAACACCAGAAAAGTGGAGCGTCCAACCCCTCTCAAGGAGTTGGGTTCCAGAGCCCAAGCTGTGTGTGGAGGTGAGGCCCACTATCTCTAGTCGGTATCGCTCAACCTCCCCCACAAGCTCGGGCTCCTTCCCCCCCAGTGAGGTGACGTTCCACGTCCCAAGAGCCAGATGTTGGGTGTGTGGACTGGGTCGTCGAGGTCTCCGCCTTCGACTGCTGCCCAGTCCTCGCTGCACCACGCCACCACGGACCCCTCTGCAGGTGGTGGGCCCACAGGAGGGACTGCCCACGTCATCCCTTCGGGCTGAGCCCGGCCGGGCCCCGTGGGCTAAGGCCCGGCCACCAGGCGCTCGCTTGCGAGCCCCGACCCCAGGCCTGGCTCCAGGGCCCCGGCTGCGCCATGCCGGGCGACGTCACGGTTTTCGTTGTCGTGCTGTCCATGGTTGGCTTCGGACTGCGCTTCGTCTGACTCGTCACTTGAGACCTGTCTGCCATGGGAGGCCCTACCAGGGGCATGAAGCCCCAGACAGCATAGCTCCCAGGATCATCCGAGTGCTCAAACTCCCCCACCACGTTAAGGTGGCAGTCCAAGGGGAAGAAGTCTCCACCATAGTTTTTAAAATAGTGTTCGGACTCAACCACCTCTGAACAAGCAGCAAAAAAGAAAAGAAAAAAGTAATTGTAATGTCATAGTCGTCAGTGTTACTTCCTGTTTTACTTTAACTGTTGTCCTGTGTCTTTTTGAGTTTAACCTCCTGTGTGTTTTCCCTGGTTCTTGTCTTCGTCCCCAGCTCCGATGTTTTACTGTCAGTTTAGTTTCAGACATAGACTTAGAAAGACTTTATAGATCCACAGGGAAATGGCATTCTCACAGCAGCTCGCATAGTATTTCACAATAAAAAAAATTAAAGTAAGAATCTGAAAATAATAATAACAATAATAAGCTACAATTGTGTGGAAAAACTAAACCTCTGTTAATATACAATACATAGGCTTATTATTTATTCTTTCAGTATTGTATTCAGGGTCCTTCCTCTGTTTCTTTTGGGCCACGACACGTAATTGCCAAATCGAAAGAACCAGCACATGGTAGTAATCACTACTGTCACTTTGGACATTTCTGTATGTTCATTCATTCATTCATTTTCAACCCCTTATTAGTCCATTTCTGTGGTGGGGGGTGGCAATGAGAGCTGCACCCAATGCTCAAAGCACCAGTCCCTCTAAACCTCTGCAGGGGGTGGGTCCACGGGACGATGGCTGCTCCGTCAGTGGTGAAACTGCCCTGGTCTTTCAGCGGGGGCTTCAGGCAACGTGGGGTTAAGTGTCTTGCCCAAGGACACAACGGCAGTAGACATTTGTGGGAGCAGTTGGAGTAGGTCCCATGGCAAGGGCTCAAACCCATGACCTCCAGGCCCAAAGGCCAAACCTGTCTAATGGCATGTGCTCATATGATTCTCTCATATGTTAATGTGGTTGTAAACATGTTAATGGTGAGAAAGTATCAGCATCACTCGCCCTCCAACATGGCGCGATGTAATAATAATGAGTTTTTGTTTTTAAATATGTGTTTTTGTACAGTATGTGTGTTTTAAACATGGCTGGTGTGTTCTCAGGCTCTGGAGGCCTGTAAAGACGCAGGCCTCGTCAGGTCTCTGGGAGTTTCCAACTTCAACAAGAGACAACTGGAGCTGCTGCTGAACAAACCAGGACTGAAGCACAGACCAGTGTCCAACCAGGTACCGCCCCAGACCGCTGCCTTCACTAAAGCTGGGGTACCTAACTTCCCCCCTCCCCAGAAATACACTGCAAAAAGTGATTAGTCAAAAATGGCTCAAATTTGGCAAAATGTATCTTAATGTTGACTGCCTTAAAACAAGATTTGCCAATGGGGCAAATAGATACAAGAAATGTCTCTCTTGGAATGAGAAAATAAAGCAACATTTCTTGGAATAAGACTAAACAGCTTTGTCCCGTTGGAGAATCTTGTCAGAATGTAATCAGATTAATGTAAAAACTGAGTTGGTACTAACATGTCTCGGAATATTATATCATAATCACATGTAGTGAAAGTATATTTATATCCCAGACTCATCCTCATTCGTGGCCCTCAGCTGAGTAGAGTTTGAGACCCCTGTTCTTTTTATTGATCTATTTATGTAACCGGGAAAAATCCCATTGAGATTAAGAACCTCTTTTTCAAGGGAGTCCTGGATCTTATCCCTATCCTCTCATAACTAATGAAAGAGTAAATGTTTCTCTTGTTCTTCAGGTTGAGTGCCATCCGTATTTCACACAACCAAAGCTGCTGGAGTTCTGTCGACAAAACGATATCGTGATTGTTGGATACTGCCCGCTCGGCTCCTCCAGAGACGTCTCCTGGTAAAATTATGCCTTACACATACATGAAGCTTTAGCTATTAGCCTCAGTGTAGGTAGCCTCAGTCCTGGGTCTACAGCCTCAGTCCTGGGTCTACAGCCTCAGTCCTGGGTCTACAGCCTCAGTCCTGGGTCTACAGCCTCAGTGCTGGATCTACAGCCTCAGTCCTGGGTCTACAGCCTCAGTCCTGGATCTACAGCCTCAGTCCTGGGTCTACAGCCTCAGTCCTGGATCTACAGCCTCAGTCCTGGGTCTACAGCCTCAGTGCTGGGTCTACAGCCTCAGTGCTGGGTCTACAGCCTCAGTGCTGGATCTACAGCCTCAGTCCTGGGTCTACAGCCTCAGTCCTGGATCTACAGCCTCAGTCCTGGGTCTACAGCCTCAGTCCTGGATCTACAGCCTCAGTCCTGGGTCTACAGCCTCAGTGCTGGATCTACAGCCTCAGTCCTGGGTCTACAGCCTCAGTCCTGGATCTACAGCCTCAGTCCTGGATCTACAGCCTCAGTCCTGGGTCTTCAGTCTCAGTCCTGGATCTACAGCCTCAGTCCTGGGTCTTCAGTCTCAGTCCTGGATCTACAGCCTCAGTCCTGGGTCTACAGCCTCAGTCCTGGGTCTACAGCCTCAGTCCTGGGTCTACAGCCTCAGTCCTGGGTCTACAGCCTCAGTGCTGGATCTACAGCCTCAGTCCTGGGTCTACAGCCTCAGTCCTGGGTCTACAGCCTCAGTCCTGGGTCTTTGTAATAAATAAAACTACAGTAATTATAATAGTGTTTCCTCGTTATAGGGTGAACCTGAAGTGTCCTCCGATGCTCGAGGACGAGGTTCTGGTTTCCATCGGTAAGAAGTACAAGAAGAGCAGTGCACAGGTCGCTCTACGCTTCAACGTCCAGAGAGGAGTCGTGGTCATTCCCAAGAGCTTCAACCCGGACCGCATCAAACACAACTTTCAGGTCAGGAAATGTTATTCTGTTTGTTTGTTTATTATAGTCATGTTTGAAACCCTCTTTGCAGATATTTGACTTTTCTCTCACTGAGGAGGAAATGCAGGCGCTGGAGGCTCTGAATCAGAACATCCGCTTTGTTGAACTTCTCATGTAAGTGCCACTCTTTTATGTTTTTATATGTTTAAGATGGCTCTCTCTCTGGTCTCTCTCTCTGGTCTCTCTCTCTGGTCTCTCCAGCTCTAGTATCTCTCTGGTCTCTCTTTCTGGTGTCTCCCTCTCTGGTGGTTCTCTCTCTGGTCTCTCCCTGTCTAGTCTATCTCTCTCTGGTCTCCCTCTCTGATCTCTCTCTCTCTGGTCTCTCCCTCTCTGGTTGTTCTCTTTTTAGTCGCTCTCTCTCTCTCTCTCTCTCTCTCTCTCTGGTCTCTCTCTCTGGTCTCCCTCTCTAGTCTCTCTCTCTCTCTCTCTGGTCTCCCTCTCTGGCCTCTCCCTCTCTAGTCTCTCTCTCTCTCTGGTCTCCCTCTCTGGCCTCTCCCTCTCTAGTCTCTCGCTCTCTCTCTGGTCTCCCTCTCTAGTCTCTCTCTCTCTCTGGTCTCCCTCTGTGGCCTCTCCCTCTCTAGTCTCTCTCTCTCTCTCTGGTCTCCCTCGCTAGTCTCTCTCTCTCTCTGGTCTCCCTCTGTGGCCTCTCCCTCTCTAGTCTCTCTCTCTCTCTGGTCTCCCTCTGTGGCCTCTCCCTCTCTAGTCTCTCTCTCTCTCTGGTCTCCCTCTCTGGCCTCTCCCTCTCTAGTCTCTCTCTCTCTCTCTGGTCTCCCTCTCTGGCCTCTCCCTCTCTAGTCTCTCTCTCTCTCTGGTCTCCCTCTCTGGCCTCTCCCTCTCTAGTCTCTCTCTGGTCTCCCTCTGTGGCCTCTCCCTCTCTAGTCTCTCTCTCTCTCTGGTCTCCCTCTCTGGCCTCTCCCTCTCTAGTCTCTCTCTCTCTCTGGTCTCCCTCTCTGGTCCCTGCCTCTCTGCATTCTCTTTATTTTCTTTATACTATGATAAGATGTGTCATTGTTCGCGCAGGTGGAGCGACCATCCTGAATATCCCTTCCATGATGAATACTGAGGAGTGTCCACCAGAGGGCAGCAGTTCTGGCAATAACCATAGGCTGCAAATGCAAGAACAGTTTATGGTTCCACCTCATCACTTCATGTGGCTAGCGAAATATATGTTTTATTAATCTGCAATGTATTTAATGTCACTTTTGATAATATACCCATGGTTTTAGTGTTTTAGATAATCAAATACAGATAATGTAATATTTTTTATTATCTATTTATATAGTTATTTAATCTATAATGAATGCTTATTCCTTTATTTGAGAGGATCCTTCTCTTTATATGGACATCCTGAGGTTTTTCACTTTTATTTTTGAGTGGTTCATTACCAATGCAGGAGGGTCTATGGACAGAGATGATCCAGGACATTTAAGGACAGTGATCATCCCGCTACCAATGAGATCTATGTGTTTTTTATTGTTCCATTTTCTGTGTTTGAACTGTTTGATTCTCTGATCTGTTGTTGAGGAATTTACAACTTTCCTTGTCCTTTAAGATGACTACAAATGTGAATTAAGGCAAAACACAAATACGTTGAATTGAGTTGAGAATTGAATGGTGTATCCCCCTGAGGTCTGTGGGCTCCATCTCACTAGGCTCCTCCAACGGTAATGTGAAAGTGCCCCTCAGGAGAACCACAGTCGGTCCTCTCTGTCCAGGGGCAGAGTTCTGGTGCTCATCTTAAACTGAACTCAGATTTTAACACTAACTGAAATGATTTCCAGTGGTGTGAGCATGAATTAGTTACAGCTGCCTTTGTATAAAATGAATGTAACAATGTAAAATGTGTTTTTAATTGTGTTAAAAGCTCTTCCAGGGACAAACATTAGCAATTTAGCGTTGGCTATAAATGTTGTTGTGTTGATTGTGTACACTTGTCCCTATCAAATAAATAAATACAACAGGGCTATGGCAACAACATAACATTTTCACTCAACTTTTATCTTTAACTATAACTTTGCAGCAACTTTTGTGATGCCCCATTTGTTAAAATTCAAGAGAAATCGGCATAAACAGCTATTGCATGAGGGGGAAAAGAATGAAGACGCATTACCAATGATGTAATACATCCATGCGCCTGACACAAGGTAAGCTAACGTAATGCTAATGCCAAGTTAAAGTTATGCCAACGCTATGCTAATGTTATGCTAACGTAATGCCAATGCTATGCTAATGTGATGCTAATGCTATGTTAACGTCATGCTAATGCTAAGCCAGCTAGCGGCTATTGTGTTTCTGTTAACTGCTGATCTAAACTAACGTATATATTTTCAAAACAAAGGAAAGGACAGAGATATTGTATTTATACTACAAAATAATATATAATTAGATACATTAACTGTTATTTTGTGGAGGATGAAAAGGACGAGAATATGGAGTCTCTGCAAACTTTATTTGTTACTTATCAAAACAGCGGGAAAAACATCACACTTCCGCCCAACGATAAACCAGCCTTTCACAATAAGGGAGACTTGTGTGTTATAGTGACACCACACAGGCCCCCCCAGAACACACAAAAAACAACATGCACAAACCCTACTGAAACCGCGTAGGTACCCTGACCACTCTACCCCTCCGACTACATTTAACCACCACCTGTGGTGGGCTCGCCAGAGGCAAAGGGTCAATGTCTGGGGCCGGATTGGGCGGGCGGCCGCGGCGAGCAGGACGAGCCAGCTCTACCCCGTCCTCCTGAAGCACATGAGCGGGCTTCAAACGGTCCACTGAAACCCTGTCCTGTCCAGTCCCCATCTCAATAAGAAAGGACTTGTGCCCCGCTTCCAACACGCGAAAGGGACCGTCATAAAGGGCCTGCAGAGGAGAGCGGTGCGCATCGTGTCGAATAAAAACGTACTTGGCCGACATAAGGTCCTTGGGGATGAAGGACCGAGGAAGACAGTGGTGCGCAGCAACAGGAGAGAAAAACCTAGCCTCTCCCTGGACCCCAAAATTCCTGACCACACCAGGACCCAAACCACTATGCAGGAACTCCCCCGGCACCCTCAAAGACTGTCCCAGAACCAACTGAGCCGAGGAGGAGCGCAGGTCCTCCTTAGGGGCGGAACGCAGACCCAACAAAACCCACGGCAGTCTGTCCACCCAACTACTGTCCACTAGAGATGCACGGAGGGCGGCTTTCATGGTGCGATGAAACCGCTCGCACAGTCCATTGGCTTGAGGGTGGTAAGCAGTGGTCCGATGAAGTTTAACCCCCAAGCTTCCGGCAACCGCGTTCCACAGCTCCGAGGTAAATTGCGGGCCCCGATCAGATGTCATGTCCAAAGGCACACCGAACCGAGACACCCACGAATAGAGGAACGCTCGGGCCACCTCAGGCGCAGTAGTAGACGACAGAGGAACTGCTTCGGGCCACCGTGTGGTCCTGTCCACCATGGTCAGCAGGTGAGTAAAGCCACGTAACGGCGGAAAAGGACCGACAAGATCCACGTGAACGTGCTCAAAACGCCTCTCAGGGACAGGAAAAGGCCCTAACGGAGCTTTAACGTGGCGCTGCACCTTGGCGCGCTGGCACGCCACACACGTATAGGCCCAAGTCTTAACATCCTTCCTGAGACCGGGCCACACGAACCTGGCACCCACCAACTTAACGGAAGCTTTAACTCCGGGGTGTGACAGGGAGTGCACAGCATCAAAAATGCGACGGCGCCAGGTAGCAGGGACCACCGGGTGCGGCCTGTCCATAGAGATGTCGCAAAGGAGGGCCGCCCCGCTGTTCTGAAAATCAACATCCTCCAACTTCAAACTAGAGTCAGCAGTGCGCAGTCCCTGCACTCCCAAATCCGTCAGCTGGTCCGCAGCCATCTCCGCGTAGTCGATTCCCAGATGCACAGTAGCGACCGGTGCACGAGAGAGGCAGTCCGCAACCAGGTTGTTCTTACCAGCCACGTGTTGAATGTCAGTCGTGAGCTCGGAAATGGCAGAAAGATGCCGTTGCTGTCGAGATGACCATGGTTCAGAAGTTTTAGCCATAGCAAACGTTAGCGGCTTGTGGTCGACAAAAGCGGTGAACTCCCGGCCCTCTAAGAGGAACCGGAAATGGCGTGTGGCAAGGAAAAGGGCCAAGAGCTCCCTGTCAAATATACTGTACTTTCTTTCTGAGTCACGCAACTTTCTACTGAAAAACGCCAGTGGCTGCCAGTGTCCATCCGACCACTGTTCGCAAACCGCACCGACGGCATAATCGGACGCGTCAGTGGTAAGGGCGATGGGCGCAGAAGGTTTGGGATGGGCCAAAAGGGCGGCCTCGGCAAGCGCTGTTTTAGCTTCTTCAAACGCCAGCGACCTCTCCTGGGTCCACTCAATGTCCTGGTTACCCTTTTTACCCTTTAAGGCATCGTACAACGAGTTCATAATGTGGGCTGCACGAGGGATGAAACGGTTGTAAAAATTAACCAAGCCCAAAAACTCCTGTAGGGGCTTCACAGAGGAGGGGCGAGGAAAAGCCAAAACCGCCTCGACTTTAGCAGGAAGAGGCACCGCACCCTGCCGTGACACACGGTGTCCCAGGAACTCGATCTCCAACAGTCCAAAACGACACTTAGCAGGGTTGACGATAAGTCCGTGCGGACTGAGGCGCTCAAAAAGCTGGCGCCACCAGCACATCGTCTAAATACACAAAGAGGAAAGGCATATCTCGCAACACAGAGTCCATAAGACGCTGAAACGTCTGTGCCACGCCCTTCAGGCCAAAAGGCATCCTCAAAAACTCAAACAGTCCAAAGGGAGTGATGACCGCCGTTTTGGGGACGTCCTGGCGACGGACCGGCATCTGGTGGTGACCTCTCACCAAATCAACCTTGGAGAAAATAACCGCCCCTGCAAGATGCACCGAAAAGTCCTGAATGTGAGGGATCGGGTACCTGTCGTTAGTGGTAGCATTATTGAGACGGCAGAAATCTCCACAAGGGCGCCAGCCCCCATCAGACTTAGGGACCATGTGCAGGGGCGAAGCCCACGGGCTGTCTGAGCGGCGCACAATGCCTAACCGCTCCATGTTGGCAAACTCCTCCTTAGCGATGGCCAATTTAGCGGTATCTAAACGGCGCGCGCGAGCAAGAACAGGAGGACCGACTGTAGTGATGTAATGCTCAACCCCGTGCTTAGCTACTACGGCAGAAAAGGTAGGAACTGTAAGGGCAGGAAACTCAGCGAGAAGACGTTGGTATGAGTCCCCTATAGCGAGCATGTTAGCGAACAGCGGCCCAGCGATACCCAGAGTACACGGGTATGTATCAAAAGACACAGAGTTAATCAAACATCTGTTAGCTACATCCACTAGCAGTCTGAATGCACACAGAAAATCTGCACCTAAGATGGGTACTGAAACAGAAGCTATTACAAAGTCCCAGCTAAACACACGGCCGTTAAAACACACAGTCAGAAACCTGGTGCCGAACGTGCGGATGGAGGTGCCGTTAGCCGCGTCCAGTGGGGGCCCTTGACTCTGACCCAAAGTGTCAGCGGAGGAGGGGGGCACGATGCTCCGCTGTGCCCCCGAATCCACGAGAAAACGACGTCCTGAAGCGCTGTCCTCAATGAAAAGCAGCGTATTGTCATTGCCGGTGCAGGCAGCTGCTAGCGAGCGCCGGCCCTCTCGTTTCCCGGCCGCTGAAAGGAACACGGTGGGATGCAACGGCGAGCCTTCACTCCGAAGCGGTGATGGTAGAAACACAGGCCGTTCTCCTTCTTCCGCCGCTCCGTGACGGCGGCGACATCCACCGTATCCTCGCTCTCTGGCACGCATGGTAACAGAGCGTGCACTGAAACCTGACGAGAGGCCAGCAAAAGTCTGTCCGCTTCTTCAGCCAAACCCCTGTAATCTTTAGTGCGGATGAGGGGAGAGTTGGCCAGGGCTGTGCGTACTTGAGGCGGTAGCTGGCGCAGAAACAGGTGGGTGAAAAGAAACGAAACATCACCGGAGCCAAGCAAGGCCAACATATTCTCCATCAGCTCCGTTGGTTTGCTATCGCCTAAACCAGTCAGTGACAATAGGCGATCGGCCCGCTCCATATCCGAGAGCTGGTAAAGTTGTAATAACGCCCTCTTAAGCGCTTCGTACTTGTTGGCAGCAGGCGGGTCCCGGAGCAGCCCCATTAATCTGCGGGTCGTGGCCGAATCCAAAGCCGCAACAACGTGGAAATATTTCGTGTCGTCTGTGGTGATGCCGCGCAGGTGGAATTGAGCGTCCACATGCTGGAACCAGGGCTCCGGGTCATTCTGCCAAAAATCTGGGAGTCTAATAGTAGCCGCAAAAACAGCCGGTGCAGCTGCCGCGGAAGCAGACGAAGATGCGTCGGTTGACATAATTCAAACGTCGGGGTCACCAATGTGGAGGATGAAAAGGACGAGAATATGGAGTCTCTGCAAACTTTATTTGTTACTTATCAAAACAGCGGGAAAAACATCACACTTCCGCCCAACGATAAACCAGCCTTTCACAATAAGGGAGACTTGTGTGTTATAAGTAAGTAGTGACACCACAATTTAGTTCTTATCCAGGTTGCCAGTGCCAACAAGAGTGACATGATTTCACAGTCACAGGCAAAACTTTTAACAGCCCAAATGTTTGTAAAGAAAATGGCCAGAGAAGGGGATCCCTAGTTTCCACAGAGCTTAAATATATATTTTGTATTTGTATTATTTATTTCTACAGAGTCAAAGCATTGAACACACTGTCAGCAGAGGTATGCCCCCATCTCCCCCCTCTCTACAACTACCGGGGCTCTAGGAAAAGATAACAATTTAATTTCAGCGACACACAAAATACTGAATGTGCAGAGGATGTAGACTGATCTGGGGGGTCCAGGTGAGTATTGGCTTGAGCTGGAAAACAGATGCAGGACTTCAGCCCCAGATAACTCCCACTGCTGTGTCTCTGTTTGCTCCTCAGCCTGTGCAGGTGAGAGACCAGAGAGAGAGGCCAGAGAGTGAGAAACTAGAGAGAGTGACCATAGAGAGAGGCCAGAGAGTGAGAGACCAGAGAAAGAGACCAGAGAGAGAGAGCAGAGAAAAAGAGCAGAGAGAGACCATGTAGAGATAGAGAAAAAGAGAGGGATACCAGAGAGAGACCATAGATAAAGAGAGAGAGACAAGAGAAAAATAGCTGAGCCAGAGAGAGAGATCCGAGAGAGCACCAGAAAGAGACCAGAGATAAATACCAGAGAGAGAGAGACCAGCGAGAGTTAAGGCAAGCTTAAAGCACATGTCTCTGTTTGCTCCTCAGCCTGTGCAATAATCTGTAGATTAGTTGTTTGAGTCCAGGCAGAGGGAGGTTTCACTCTTTTCTATCCGCCTTCAAGCGTGTGTAAGACGTGAACGAGTTTGGCTTCTGTTTTGGAAAACTATTCAAGAAATGAAAGGTGAGTGGCTGGAAACTATGTAACAACTCTTTTCTACATTCAAGATTACAATAGAATTAAGATTGCACCATTGTTAATGCATTTGTGTTCAGAAATGATAAAGTCTGTATATGTATGTATGTATATGTATGTCTGTATATGTATGTCTGTATATGTATGTCTGTATATGTATGTCTGTATATGTTTGTATATGTATGTCTGTATATGTATGTATGTATATGTTTGTATATGTATGTCTGTATATGTATGTCTGTATATGTATGTCTGTATATGTATGTATGTATATGTATGTATGTATATGTTTGTCTGTATATGTATGTCTGTATATGTATGTATGTATATGTTTGTCTGTATATGTATGTCTGTATATGTATGTCTGTATATGTATGTATGTATATGTATGTATATGTATGTATGTATATGTATGTATATGTATGTATGTATATGTATGTATATGTATGTATATGTATGTATGTATATGTATGTCTGTATATGTATGTCTGTATATGTATGTCTGTATATGTATGTATGTATGTATGTCTGTATATGTATGTATGTATATGTTTGTCTGTATATGTTTGTCTGTATATGTATGTATGTATGTATGTATGTCTGTATATGTATGTATGTAACTTGGGACAAGGTCAGTGACATGCTAATGAGTTAGGGTCGTTAGCCTCAGCAGGGTCGTTAGACCTGCTCCCTTCTACATCAAACAGACCTTAGATTGTTTATGAGTTAGAATCAGGATTAGGGTGTGGCTAACAACACCCATAGGTTATAAATCTCCAACGCGCGGTCCGAGAATTCATTCCCTGAAGAAGTCCTTTGGTTTGAGGACGGAACGTCGGGAAAACTTGCTAAGAAGTACAGATGATGGGTGAGAAACCTTCCTTTGCTTTGACTAATCCCTGTACGACTGAGGGCTTACACAAATGTATGTATGTATATGTTTGTATGTATATGTTTGTCTGTATATGTATGTATGTATATGTTTGTATGTATATGTTTGTATGTATATGTATGTCTGTATATGTATGTCTGTATATGTTTGTCTGTATATGTTTGTATGTATATGTTTGTCTGTATATGTATGTATGTATATGTTTGTATGAATATGTTTGTATGTATATGTATGTCTGTATATGTATGTCTGTATATGTTTGTCTGTATATGTTTGTCTGTATATGTATGTCTGTATATGTATGTCTGTATATGTATGTCTGTATATGTTTGTCTGTATATGTTTGTCTGTATATGTTTGTCTGTATATGTTTGTCTGTATATGTATGTCTGTATATGTATGTCTGTATATGTATGTCTGTATATGTATGTCTGTATATGTTTGTCTGTATATGTATGTATGTATATGTTTGTCTGTATATGTATGTATGTATGTATATGTTTGTCTGTATATGTTTGTCTGTATATGTATGTATGTATGTATATGTTTGTCTGTATATGTTTGTCTGTATATGTATGTATGTATGTATATGTTTGTCTGTATATGTTTGTCTGTATATGTTTGTCTGTATAAGTTTGTATATCTATGTCTCTATATCTATGTCTGTATATTTATGTCTGTATATGTTTGTCTGTATATTGAAAGAGCTATTATTTTCTCAAGCATTAATCCTTGATGCGTTGAAGGGAAACAGATCTGTTTTTAACCTGGATTAGAACATTGTCAGAGAAGAAGCCTGTCTCACATTTGCAGAAAGACTGTTCCAGGTTGTAGCTGCACACATCTGAAATGCTGCCTCCTCATGTTGGGTAGTGACGTATGAGAAAAGTAGTTATGTGTGAAAAAATATTACTTAGTGTGGACTGAAATGTATGTATTGATTGGTTTTATGGTTAGTGATTTCATATGAGGTGAATGAGAGATGTATTGTCTGTGACATATAAGAGTGCGGTTTTGTTTATGTTAATGTATGATCACTGTAGTCTATTGTATTGTTAGGGTAAAGTCTTTTGGGTTTTGTTTTCTCACATGTAACCACCAGGGACCGCGGATGGAAATGTAGTTATAATCTGGTGCAGAATATATCTGTCTCTGATCTTAATGTTACTGTGCACTGTCCCTTTAAAATACAGACCTAACTGAACCCAGCAGGAGGCCAGTCCCTGTGCTCCTCAGAGTCCCAGCAGGAGGCCAGTCCCTGTGCTCCTCAGAGTCCCAGCAGGAGGCCAGTCCCTGTGCTCCTCAGAGTCCCAGCCGGAGGCCAGTCCCTGTGCTCCTCAGAGTCCCAGCAGGAGGCCAGTCCCTGTGCTCCTCAGAGTCCCAGCAGGAGGCCAGTCCCTGTGCTCCTCAGAGTCCCAGCCGGAGGCCAGTCCCTGTGCTCCTCAGAGTCCCAGCAGGAGGCCAGTCCCTGTGCTCCTCAGAGTCCCAGTCGGAGGCCAGTCCCTGTGCTCCTCAGAGTCCCAGCCGGAGGCCAGTCCCTGTGCTCCTCAGAGTCCCAGCAGGAGGCCAGTCCCTGTGCTCCTCAGAGTTGGTTCATATGGCACTAACATGTCACAGCAAGACTTGTAACAAACAGCTGATTTAAAGTCTATTCTCTTAATTAAAAGTCTTTATCTTAAATGTATTGTCTATTATCTCAAATAATAGACTTATTTGATGTGTGTAATCTGAGTGCTCTTATTTTCTTCTTTCTCTGCTGTAATGTGCGCAACGATGACACTGACATTTCTCCACTGTGAGACAAATAAAGGTTTATCTTATCTTTTATCTTATTCTCTGAGCCACAGGTGCAGAGACCTGAGACCAGGACTAATGTGACGGTACTTAATGTATTTGTTTCCTGCACAGAACCAGACTCAGAGCCCAAAGGAGATGAGGGGAACGGACATGTCAGGACCTCACGCGTGTCGCAGGATTCTCAGCAGAAGATGGAGGAGCGAGGCCAGTGGGGAAACAAAATGGAGTTTGTGTTGTCTGTGGCGGGAGAGATCATCGGCCTCGGGAACGTGTGGCGCTTCCCGTACCTGTGCTACAAGAACGGAGGAGGTGAGAGATCCAGGGGCCATTACTTTGAGGGACTGACTCTCTCTGCTCCCTCCAGCGTTGGTCCCTCTCTCTCTCTGGTCTCTCTCTTCCTCTTGTCCCTCTCTCTCTGGTCTCTACCTCTGTGGTATCTCTCTTTCAAGTCTCTACCTCTGTGGTCTCTCTCTTTCAGGTCTCTACCTCTGTGGTCTCTCTCTCTGATCTCTCTCTCTCTAGTCTTTGTCTCTCTTGTCTCTCTCTCTGGTTCCTCTCTCTGGTCTAGTCCTCTCTCATTAATCTCTCTGTCTGTGGTATATCTCTCTCTCTGTTCTGTCTCTCTCTCTGTCTCTCTCTCTCTGATCTCTCTGCCTCTGGTCTGTCTCTCTCTCTCTCTGATCTCTCTCCCTCTGGTCTGTCTCTCTCTCTCTCTGATCTCTCTCCCTCTGGTCTGTCTCTCTCTCTCTCTGATCTCTCTCCCTCTGGTCTGTCTCTCTCTCTCTCTGGTCTCTCTTTACCCTAACCCTGACCACATAACAAGAATGATGTCATAAAATCCACATAATCAGTTCCTACCACTCAAAACTCTGGGTTCTATCATTACTTTTCACATGTCCTTTGGACTCTGAACCTAATGGTTGTTTGTTCGATCCCCCCATGACTCATGTCCCCTGCTCCCACTGAAGTCTGCTGTTGTTGTGTCCCTGAGCAAGACATTTAACCCCACTTTGCCTGAATCGCCCGCTGAAAGACTAAGGCTGTGTCAAAGCTCCGGTTGCCTTCCCCCCAGCTAAGAAATTGACAAATAAAAGAGGTGTAGATGAGGCAAGTTTCAGGGTTAACTCTGTCTAATGACCGGACATGTGACAAAAACATTAATCATGTTGATAAGAAAGCTTGTCTGCGTCTCTTCTTTCTGTGGAAACTTTAAGATTCTGCTTCACTTTCATCGCTGCACCATTGACAGTTTGCTTGTTTTTCTGTGACATCACATACAGCCAAAGAAAGGAGAACAGAGAGCGGCCAGAGAGAGACCGGAGAGAGAGACCGGAGATAGAGACCGGAGAGAGAGACCGGAGAGAGAGACCGGAGATAGAGACCGGAGAGAGAGACCGGAGATAGAGACCGGAGAGAGAGACCGGAGATAGAGACCGGAGATAGAGACCAGAGAGAGACCAGAGAGAGACCAGAGAGAGACCAGAGAGAGACCAGAGAGAGACCAGAGAGAGACCAGAGAGAGACCAGAGAGAGACCAGAGTAAGACACCAGAGAGAGACCAGAGTAAGACACCAGACAGAGACCAGAGAGAGACCAGAAAGAGACCAGAGTAAGACACCAGAGAGAGACCAGAGAGAGACCAGAGAGAGACCAGAGTAAGACACCAGAGAGAGACCAGAGTAAGACACCAGAGAGAGACCAGAGAGACACCAGAGAGAGACCAGAGCGAGACCAGAGAGACACCAGAGAGACACCAGAGAGACACCAGAGAGAGACCAGAGAGAGGTGCTGTGACCTGTGAGGTGCCTGCTCTGGAGGTTCTTTATGAATCCAGACCATAGAGTAAACAATAACTCTTCTGGCCCCTGGAAAAGCCATGTTCCAGCTTCTTCCCTCTAAAAGTACTAAGCGTTAAAACTGTAGATTTTTAAACTGTGAAATGAAGTATATACGTATATGTCGTTCTCAAAGGGGGAGCTCAAATCAAATAAGTGAAAGAAGGATAGATTGTGAGAGAGGGAGCAGTGTCTGCAGTCAGAGCTCTATCAGACTGTTGTGGTGAAGATGGAGCAGCGTCTGCAGTTAGAGCTGTCTATTTTCTTTGTTATCCGCGGTGTACTACAAGTTGTTTTTTACCATTGCAATGTTTTTTAATGAAGAATAATCACAACGTCTTCTTTCTATTTCGAAAAAGCAGTAAAGCAGCCACGATAAGCTAAAGCTATCGTCGTAAAAGAGAGGCGACATTTGTCAATAGATTGTGGAGGGTTAATTATTGATCCATTGCAGTTGCTCAATCCAATCCCCGACTCTAAACTAAACAGTCAGAGCAAACAAACGCTGCAGTAACTTTCCACTTAGGTACGAGTTAATGCAGAGAGTCAGATATTCTACTTACACATGGTACTCTAGAGACATATTCTTCCATCTATGGTCCAGCAATACTGTTTTTCCATTCTATGATATGGGCCCCATGGACTGGACTGTGAATAAATCAGACCTGTCTTCCTCTTATTAAAAGACGTCTGGTAATTTATGTACTGAGAGCTGATTGGCTGAGTGAAGGTGGTCCTCTCTTTTCCACTGTTCTGTTTGAAAAAGTTGGTCTGAAAATGTGACAGAGGCAACAAATCAGAGAGAGAGAGTGACAGAGAGACCAGAGAGAGAGAGCAGAAACACACCAGAGAGAGAGAGACCAGAAAGTCACCAGAGAGAGAAAGAGAGAAAGACCAAAGAGAACGACCAGAGAGAGAGACCAGAGAGAGAGAGATAAAGACCAAAGAGATAGACCAGAGAGAGAGAGGGAAAGACCGAAGAGAACAACCAGAGAGATAGACCAGAGAGAGAGACCAGAGAAAGACCAAAGAGAACGACCATAGAGAGAGACCAGAGAGAGAGACCAGAGAGAGAGACCAGAGAGAGAGACCAGAGAGAGAAAGACCAGAGAGAGAGAGACCAGAGAGAGAGACCAGAGAGAGAGACAGAGAAAGACCAAAGAGAACGACCATAGAGAGAGACCAGAGAGAGAGACCAGAGAGAGAGACCAGAGAGAGAAAGACCAGAGAGAGAGAGACCAGAGAGAGAGACCAGAGAGATAGACCAGAGAGAGAGACAGAGAAAGACCAAAGAGAACGACCATAGAGAGAGACCAGAGAGAGAGACCAGAGAGAGAAAGACCAGAGAGAACGACCAGAGAGAGAGACCAGAGAGAGAGACCAGAGAGAGAGACCAGAGAGAGAGACCAGAGAGAGAGACCAGAGAGAACGACCAGCGAGAGAGACCAGAGAGAGAGACCAGAGAGAACGACCAGCGAGAGAGACCAGAGAGAGAACAGAGAGAGAGCAGTGAAAAAGATCAAAGAGTGACCAGAGAGAGAGATAGAGAGAGACCAGCGAGAAACCAAAGAAAACAGACACCAGAGAGAGAGAAAGACCAAATAGAGACCAGAGAACAATCAGAGAGAAAGAACAAAGAGAGAGACCAGAGAAAAAGATCAGAGAGTAGTAGTAGTAGTAGTAATCTTTATTTATATACCGCCTTTTCACTGCAGATCTGAGTCTCAAAGCGGTTTACAATTGTTAATTTTGGGCATTTGTCTCTCACTCCACACAGAGATGGGAGCGGGGTCGCCAGTACAGGAGGCGCATGCCAGAACTATTGGACATATTTTTAGTGGTAGGGGAAACCGGAGTACCCGGAGGAAACCTACGCAGACACGGGGAGAACATGCAAACTCCACTCAGAAAGGCCCTGGTCCGACCGGGATTCGAACCCAGGACCTTCTTGCTGAGAGGCGAGAGTGCTATCCACTCTGCCACCGTGCCGCCAGAGAGAGAGAGACAACTGCGAGAATAGAAACCAGAATGAGAACAGAGCTCGGCGATTAAAGGTTGCAGATGTGATGGAGGACAATAATACCTACGGCTAGTGATAGAACCCAACTCCTTACATGGATTTCATTATATCGTACATTTGTCGAAAACGCTCTCAAACTATGATTAAAATGTCATGTTTCTGAAATGTGCAGTATGAGTAAAGTGGAGTGACGTGTGTCTCTCTCAGGAGCCTTCTTCATCCCGTACCTGATCTTCCTCTTCGCCTGCGGGATCCCGGTCTTCCTCCTGGAGACGGCTCTGGGGCAGTTCACCAGTGAGGGCGGCATCACCTGCTGGAGGAAGATCTGCCCCCTGCTGGAAGGTCAGTGTCAACACATCTACTCTACTCTACTCTACTCTACTCTACTCTACTCTACTCTACTCTAGTCTGCTCTACACTACTCTACTCTAGTCTGCTCTACACTACTCTGCTCTACAGTACTCTGCTCTACACTACTCTACTCTACTCTACTCTACTCTACTCTACTCTACTCTACTCTAGTCTGCTCTACACTACTCTGCTCTACAGTACTCTGCTCTACACTACTCTGCTCTACACTACTCTACTCTACTCTACTCTACTCTAGTCTGCTCTACACTACTCTACTCTAGTCTGCTCTACACTACTCTACTCTAGTCTGCTCTACACTACTCTACTCTACTCTAGTCTGCTCTACATTACTCTACTCTAGTCTGCTCTACAGTACTCTACTCTACTCTGCTCTACACTACTCTACTCTAGTCTGCTCTACACTACTCTAATCTACTCTACTCTAGTCTGCTCTACACTACTCTGCTCTACTCTACTCTGCTCTACTCTACTCTACTCTACTCTATGTGTTTCCTCTGGTCCTGTCTAACCAGTACCAGGTCCCTCTTTAGTCCCTCTTGGTCCTGGTTCCATTGAGGTCGAGCTGGTACTAAAGTGTTCTAACTGACAGTGATTGGGCAGAGTGCTGCTGGAAGCCATGGTTACCAAGGAATTTCACTGGATACTGGTTTGTCGGGGGTTCAATGCCAGGATAGGGTACCAGATACTAGGGTGTAATAGACGTAGCGTAGAGCAGAGAGTAGAGTAGAGTAGAGCAGAGAGTTGAGCAGAGTAGAGTAGAGCAGAGAGTAGAGCAGAGCAGTATAAATGACTTTGTGTCTAACTTGTCCTATGATGGATGAATGTGTGACATCACAGACTGTTCTTGTCTCAGGAGTGGGTTTTGCGACGCAGGTGATCGTGGCTCTGCTCAACGTCTATTACATCATCGTTTTGGCCTGGGCCATCTTCTACCTGTCCCACTCCTTCACCTGGGACCTGCCCTGGGCCTCCTGCAACAACACATGGAACACAAGTAAGATCTGCTACTGCTAATGCTGCTACTACTACTACCGCTGCTACTGCTTCTACTGCTACTGCTGCTACTGCTACTACTTCTACTGCTACTGCTGCTACTGCTGCTGCTGCTACTGCTACTGCTACTACTGCTGCTACTGCTACTGCTGTTGCTGCTGCTACTGCTGTTACTGCTACTGCTGTTGCTGCTGCTACTGCTGTTACTGCTACTGCTGTTGCTGCTGCTACTGCTGTTACTGGGCAAGGGAGGTTTATTTATAAAGCACAGTTCAAGCACAAGACAGCTCAAAGTTCTGAAGCAAACAAGAAAAAACCAAAACATACAAAATATAAATAATCAAGGTACATTAATAATAGTGAAGATACAATCCTTCAGTTGTTCTACTGCTGTTTTACTGCTACTTCTACTTCTACCTCAGCTTTGCTCTATGCTTCATTCTCTTGGTCCTATTTTCCTTCCAGACTCGTGTGTGGAGTTTCAGAGAGGGAACGGCTCCATCTCCCACATCAACGCCACGTCTCCGGTCATCGAGTTCTGGGAGTGAGTGTCTTCATGTGTCATGTTTGTCTTTGGTCTAATCGCTGGTGTTCGAGGATACTGCGTGTTTTGTTTGAAGTGGGTGAAAGTTCCATGAAACTGGACCGACACAAAGGTAAAACCATCAGTCCATTCAGAATTATCATCATTAAATTGTTTGAATATACTGTATGACTGGGTCTACAGCCTCAGTCCTGGATCTACAGCCTCAGTCCTGGATCTACAGCCTCAGTCCTGGGTCTACAGCCTCAGTCCTGGGTCTACAGCCTCAGTCCTGGGTCTACAGCCTCAGTCCTGGGTCTACAGCCTCAGTCCTTGGAGACCAGTTCCCAGTTACAGATAAAAGAGGTCAAATACATTACACCATGACCCAGATAATGGATCAGTGAGTGGTCGACAGTAGCTCAGTTGGTAGAGCATTGGCCTTCAGGCCTGAAGGTCGTGGGTTCAATTCCCACCTCTACACCTTCTCCACCGACTCCCACTGATGACTGCTGTCATTGTGTCCTTGGGTAAGACACTTAACCCCGCTTTGCCCAAAGCCCCCACTGAAAGATCAAGGCTATGCTCACACTCAGTGAGCAGCCGTCCTCCTGTGGACTCACCACCTGCAGAGGGTCAGTGAGGGGCTGGTGCTATGAGACTTGGGTGGCATCTCTGACTGCCACCCCCCTGACCCAGAAATGGATTAAAGGGTAGAAAATGGATGGATGGAGTGAACAACAAAACAGGTGTTGGAAAACCACACCATGCTTTATATGAGTCACTATTTGACTTTTTGGGCTAAGAGCGAGTGAGGGTGGTTCTCTCTGTTTCACATTTCTGTCTGAAAGCGGACAGTGAAGACATGACAGTGGTAAAAATAACTTGTTCGATGTGTTTATTACATCGTTCCGGCTTCCTGTGGTTTGAAAGTTAGGTACCCCAGCTTTAATGATGTTCACATTATTGTTGTTGTCGTAAAGGAACATGTGTTTGTGTGTGTGACGTCCAGGCGCAGGGTGCTGCGTCTCTCCTCAGGCCTTCACCACATCGGCTCTCTGAACTGGGACCTGGTGCTGTGTTTACTGGTGGCCTGGATCATCTGCTACTTCTGCATCTGGAAAGGAGTCAAGTCCTCAGGGAAGGTGGGCCTCCTGCGAACAGCACTGCGCACCATCTGAAATCACAACAAAGGGAAAATTAGATTTAAAAAAAAAAGCTGAAATAATATTTTAAATAAATTCTATATCCATCCATTGACTTCTGCTCTATCCGTTGCCGGGTCGCTGGGCGAGCAGTCTGACCAGAGACACAGACTTCCTTCTCCTCTCTCTGAGAGACCCAGTCCCTCTGTGTCCTGGGTCCCTGGTCCCCTTCCAGTGGGACAGGCCCGGAACACCTCCACAGAGAGGGGTCGAGGAGGCATCCTCCTGTGTGACTCAGCTGAGTCCAAGGAAGCTCCACTCTGGAGGAAAGAGGAATATGACCAGAGGAGAGGGGACATAGAGCTCTGATTGCAGATGCTGCTCCCTCTTCACCATAAGAGTCTGATACAGCGACCACAGCACGACACACGCTCCGTCCTTCTCTCACTTCTGAACAAGACCCAGAGAAAACTCGTATCATCTCTATCATTCTTGTGCATACTGCATCAGTACAGGAGTCCAACAGGAGACAAATGATGGATAAGAATCTCCAAGTCTGCTTTAGACACTATGTTTTTGATACTGACCGTGTTTTTTAAAGATAGCATATTTTGTTTTGATTATTTTTTGTAAATAAACAGCAGGTCATTGCTAATGCTAATGCGTTAGTTAGCAATTAGGACTTTTCAAATCCTTTATATTTTAATGGAATTAGCTTCATTTAAAGAAGGGAAGAAGGAGAAAATGTGAGTTCCAATATATCCACTATGAATTCGTTCGATATTTGGGTCTCGCTCTTGATTTTTGTCTTTGGTTATATTTGTGAGTTTACTTTTACACTATTATGGCATTTAGAAATATATATATTGAATATGGGTTTGCATATTCTTTCCATGGGAGGTACTTCTCATTGACTTGGTTGTCAAATTGTGAAATAGGAAAAAATAGGCTGAATGGGAAGAAGTTATGGCCACAAATCGTTGGATAACCAATGTATATGTCTGAAGGTGGTGTACTTCACGGCCACATTCCCGTACCTGATGCTGGTGGTTCTGCTGATCCGAGGCGTCACGCTGCCAGGAGCCAGTCGAGGGATCTACTTCTACCTGTATCCAGACCTCAGCCGGCTCTCAGACCCCCAGGTACCAGCTCTGGGACTCTGAGATACTGGGAGGTTTAGTTGATCCTGTCTCGCTGTATTTCCCCAAAGATAAATGCTCCTGGGTCTTAGTTTTAACACGACTTTTGTTTCTGCTCCTGAAGGTGTGGATGGACGCCGGAACTCAGATCTTCTTTTCCTTCGCCATCTGTCTGGGCTGCCTCACTGCCCTCGGGAGCTACAACAAATACAACAACAACTGCTACAGGTGAGCACCATAGAGCAAAGCATAGAGCAAACCATACCACAGAGCATACATGAGGAGTGGGCTGAGAGAGTGTGATATCCCCATAGTGAGGCCAAACTTCTCCAATTTCTCTCTCTTTCTTTATTCCTTGATATTACACTCAGTAAAGGTTCTGTTTCCACCAACCCTGCTCTGCTCTGCTCTGCTCTGCTCTGCTCTGATTGGGAGTGTTTCCTCTGGTCCTGTCTAACCAGTACCAGGTTCTTCTTTAGTCCCTCTTGGTCCTGGTTCTATCCAGGCCGAGCTGGTACTAAAGTGTTCTGACTGACAGTGATTGGCCAGAGTCCTGCTGGAAGCCATGGTTACCAAGGAATTTCCACAGATAGTAGTTTGTTGTAGATAGGTTGCAAGGATATGTTACAAGATACTAAACTTTAAAGGAAACACAACCAAGTAGAGAAGAGTAGAGTAGAGTAGAGTAGAGTAGAGTAGAGTAGAGTAGAGTAGAGTAGAGTAGAGTAGAGTAGGGCAGAGTAGAGTAGGGTAGAGTAGAGTAGAATCGGGCAGAGTAGAGTAGAGTAGGGTAGGGTAGGGTAGGGTAGAGTAGGGTAGGGTAGGGTAGAGTAGAGTAGAGTAGAGTAGAGTAGGGCAGAGTAGAGTAGAGTAGAGTAGAATAGGACAGAGTAGAGTAGAGTAGGGTAGAGTAGGGTAGAGTAGGGTAGAGTAGAGTAGAGTAGAGTAGAGTAGAGTAGAGTAGAGTAGGGTAGGGTAGGGTAGGGTAGGGTAGAGTAGGGTAGGGTAGGGTAGGGTAGGGTAGGGTAGGGTAGGGTAGGGTAGGGTAGGGTAGGGTAGAGTAGAGTAGAGTAGAGTAGAGTAGAGTAGAGTAGAGTAGAGTAGAGTAGAGTAGAGTAGAGTATAATGTGCAGTTTCTTTTGGCAGGGACAGCTTGTGTCTGTGCTTCATGAACAGTGCCACCAGCTTCATGGCCGGGTTCGCCATCTTCTCCATCCTCGGCTTCATGTCGTACGAACAGAACGTCCCCATCTCAGAAGTGGCTGAATCAGGTTTGTGGCAGCAGCTCTCACCTCCGTCAGCTGTGCTCTGTAGCCGCGTCTGCCTGGAGGCGCACTCGCTTATGCAGAAAACAGGAAGCACTGGACTGGGTTTATACGGCTGGGGAGACCACATCACCCGGATCCGCAAATAACTTCATTTGCTTCTGCCGTCTCAAACCTCAAAAGGGCAAAACCTGGAGAACCGAGCTTTCTGATCCCTAAGGACCGAGCCTTCTGAACCGTGAGGACCGAGTCTGAACCCTGAGGACCGAGCCTTCTGATCCCTGAGGACCGAGCTTTCTGAACCCTGAGGACCGAGTCTGAACCCTGGGGACCGAGCCTTCTGAACCTTTAGGACCGAGTCTTCTGAACCCTGAGGACCGAGTCTGAACCATGAGGACCGAGTCTGAACCATGAGGATCAAGTCTGAACCCTGAGGACCGAGTCTGAACCCTGAGGACCGAGCCTTCTGAACCCTGAGGACCGAGTGTGAACCATGAGGATCAAGTCTGAACCCTGAGGACCGAGTCTGAACCCTGAGGACGAGCCTTCTGAACCCTGAGGACCGAGCCTTCTGAACCCTGAGGACCGAGCCTTCTGAACCCTGAGGACCGAGCCTTCTGAACCCTGAGGACCGAGCTTTCTGAACCCTGAGGACCGAGTCTTCTGAACCTTTAGGGCCGAGCCTTCTGAACCCTGAGGACCGAGTCTGAACCCTGAGGACCGAGCCTTCTGAACCTTTAGGACCGAGTCTTCTGAACCTTTAGGACCGAGCCTTCTGAACCTTTAGGACCGAGTCTTCTGAACCTTTAGGACCGAGTCTTCTGAACCTTTAGGACCGAGTCTGAACTCTGAGGACCGAGCCTTCTGAACCCTGAGGACCGAGTCTGAACCCTGAGGACCGAGTCTGAACCCTGAGGACCGAGCTTTCTGAACCCTGAGCACCGAGTCTTCTGAACCTTTAGGACCGAGTCTTCAATAAACGTACAGTACATCATTACAATTGAATGTAAAGTTTTCATCTCTACTGACTGACCATTACCAACTGTCCTGGATTAGGGCCTCATTCAAAAGGATTTGGCAGTAACTTATTACAAAAGTCCATCCATCCATCTTCTTCCCCTTAATCCATTTCTGGTTTGGGGGGTGTCAGTCAGAGCTGCACCCAGTCCACAGAGCACCAGCCTCTCACTGATCCTCCTGCAGGTGGTGAGTCCACAGGAGCTGAGATCTTTCAGTGGGAGCTTCAGGCAAAGTGGGGTTAAGTGTCTTGCCCAAGGACACAACGACAGCAGTCATCAGTGGGAGTCGTGAAGTAGGTCTTGTGGTGGGCTCGAACCCACGACCTTCAGGCTCAAAGGCCAATGCTCTACCAACTGAGCCACTGCCGCCCTATATTATAAAATTAATCTGAAAAAAGTAAAATCTTAGTAAGATTTATTTACTAAAACCGCAAATCAGGGCTTTTTTTGGCGATAAATCTTGTAAAATAACAAACTTTTTAAAGATAATAATACTTTATAATCTTAAAAAACAGTCTAAGAAGTGAGTTTTTATCTTATTTCCATAAACCTTTGCTTTTTGTTTAGATAAAATAAGTGTTATGCTATGTTGTAAGAAAACATCACTCAAAAATGTATAAGAAATAATTAAATAATACTTGAAATTCTAGAATCCTTATGATCTTATCAAGTCATATTTTCTGGTTCTATTGGTAGATATTTTGTTATTAATTTAGCCAGTATTTTACTGATTTTCTTATGTACATTTTTCCCAAGGTATGATTGTATCTTGCTGCATTCATCGACACAGCTCTAGAGTTGGTCAAGTCTGAAGTTCTCTTTCTTCCTCTTCCCCAGGCCCTGGTCTGGTGTTCATAGCGTACCCTCGAGCCGTGTCCATGATGCCCTTCTCTCCGCTGTGGGCCTGCTTCTTCTTCATCATGATCGTGTTCCTGGGTTTGGACAGTCAGGTCTGTCTTTGAATCACTCTTTTGTTTTTGAATGTGCCATGTTACTAACGTGGATCTGCATTGGAACAGTAATGGACTGAAAGTTACTGTATGTGGTTCTTCTATACCAGACCGTTGTAAGCTAGCCAAACATGTCAAGGTAATAACCATAGACTGTATATACAGTGCCTTGCGAAAGTATTCGACCCCCTTGAACCTTTCAACATTTCGCCACATTTCAGGCTTCAAACATAAAGATATAAAATGTTATGTCATGAATCAACAACAAGTGGGACACAATCGTGAAGTGGAACGAAATGTATTGGATAATTTAAACTTTTTTAACAAATAAAAAACTGAAAAGTGGGGCGTGCAATATTATTCGGCCCCCTTGCACTAATACTTTGTAGCGCCACCTTTTGCTGCAATTACAGCTGCAAGTTGCTTGGGGTATGTCTCTATCAGTTTTGCACATCGAGAGACTGGAATTCTTGCCCATTCTTCCTTGTAAGACAGCTCGAGCTCAGTGAGGTTGGATGGAGAGCGTTTGTGAACAGCAGTCTTCAGCTCTTTCCACAGATTCTCGATTGGATTCAGGTCTGGACTTTGACTTGGCCATTCTAACACCTGGATACGTCTATTTGTGAACCATTCCATTGTAGATTTGGCTTTATGTTTTGGATCATTGTCCTGTTGGAAGATAAATCTCCGTCCCAGTCTCAGGTCTTTTGCAGACTCCAACAGGTTTTCTTCCAGAATGGTCCTGTATTTGGCTCCATCCATCTTCCCATCAATTTTAGCCATTTTCCCTGTCCCTGCTGAAGAAAAGCAGGCCCAAAGCATGATGCTGCCACCACCATGTTTGACAGTGGGGATGGTGTGTTCAGGGTGATGAGCTGTGTTGCTTTTACGCCAAACATATCGTTTTGCATTGTGGCCAAAAAGTTCGATTTTGGCTTCATCTGACCAGAGCACCTTCTTCCACATGTTTGGTGTGTCTCCCAGGTGGCTTGTGGCAAACTTTAAACGAGACTTTTTAAGGATATCTTTGAGAAATGGCTTTCTTCTTGCCACTCTTCCATAAAGGCCAGATTTGTGCAGTGCACGACTGATTGTTGTCCTATGGACAGACTCTCCCACCTCAGCTGTAGTTATCTGCAGTTCATCCAGAGTGATCATGGGCCTCTTGGCTGCATCTCTGATCAGTCTTCTCCTTGTTTGAGATGAAAGTTTGGAGGGACGGCCGGGTCTTGGTAGATTTGCAGTGGTCTGATACTCCTCCCATTTCAATATAATTGCTTGCACAGTGCTCCTTGAGATGTTTAAAGCTTGGGAAATCTTTTTGTATCCAAATCCGGCTTTAAACTTCTCCACAACAGTATCTCGGACCTGCCTGGTGTGTTCCTTTGTCTTCATGGTTCTCTCTGTGCTTTAAACAGAACCCTGAGACTATCAAAGAGCAGGTGCATTTATACGGAGACTTGATTACACACAGGTACATTCTATTTATCATCATCAGTCATTTAGGACAACATTGGATCATTCAAAGATCCTCACTGAACTTCTGGACTGAGTTTGCTCCACTGAAAGTAAAGGGGCCGAATAATATTGCACGCCCCACTTTTCAGTTTTTTATTTGTTAAAAAAGTTTAAATTATCCAATAAATTTCGTTCCACTTCACGATTGTGTTCCACTTGTTGTTGATTCATGACAAAAAATTAAAATTTTATATCTTTATGTTTGAAGACTGAAATGTGGCGAAATGTTGAAAGGTTCAAAGGGGCCGAATACTTTCGCAAGGCACTATATTAATGGAAGTAGTCACGCCTATCTCCGTCGTTCTAACTCGTGGGCCAAAGATTGGGCTTTCATGGAGTTTTTCAAAATGGCCGCGGGGGCTGGAAAATGTGAAAAAAACACATCTGTGCATGCGTCAGCTGCACGAGCCCCATTCATTTAAACGAGTGACTTCAAAAATTCACAGCGACTAAACTAGACTGGTCCAGAACACTCCCTCAGCATTGACACACATGTGGAACGGAGCTTTGGACCAAGAGCCAACTTTTGGACCATCCTGTGAAGATGTTTTCCAGAGGTCAACTAATGCTATATGTTAGCATTGGCTAATTCTTATTCCAGGTCCACCCCCACAGGCCCGGGGTGGTATTGCAGCATGTCAGCGCACTTCATTTTAGCCACTTTTGAGCCGGGACCCGCCCCCACTGGTAATAGCATTGCTCTCACTTGTCTGATGTAGAAGAAGCAAATATCATAATCTTCCAAGAACCTTTCAACACTATTGAATGGATATTGACTGGTCGAAAGAGTGCGGCCTTGCAAACAATAAGATAAGACCCAGTTTAAATGAAAATTCAATGTTTTTGTGTATTGCCTTAAATTGCAATCGCGGACGTCCGTTAGAACTTCACAAATTTGTCAATTCCTCAACAACACATCACAGGAAATAAAAAACAAACACATAGGAGCCATTGGTCCAGAAGTGTCCTAGATCATCACTGTCCTCAGACCATCAGAGGAACCTCAGAAAACCCTCTGGGGAAATGTGAGAAACCTCAGACAAAACTATAGAGAGAGGAATCCGATCCCACGAATGGACCGATTATTTAGGACAGTACTGTTGCTAAAAGCCGCTTCTTAGACTTAGACTCATTCAATTTTGATCTAAATTGGACTCATAAGAGAAACTACGTAAATGTCTTTTTAATATTCTGTAATGTTTAGGATTATCTGTTTGACACACTAAAATGTAAATGTTCCCAGAGGAGTTTTAAAGCCACTGAACACCACAATTTTACTTCACAAAGTTGTAACTAAAATACAAATATTGTCATTATTGCCCACATGGGGCTGGACTTTCTCAGATTAGCTTTGAGTCATTTTGTCTCACACTTTTGACTCTTGGGGTTAATCCCACAAAGGAGGCCAATAGTTCACTCAAACACTAACCCAGGAGTAGACTTTGCCTCCTGAGTTATCTCAATGATTGCCTCCATCTCTAAAGTAGTAAAAAACGTGACTTTTCTGGGCCCAGATCGACCGTAAACAGGTGTTGAATATCATTTATAGATAATAGACTCAGAGTTTCCCCTGTCTGGTGTAGAATCATTTAGATTTGGTGTTACTGACCCTGACACATGAAGAGGTTTTGTCCTCTGTGATGGAGCGATAATCCAGACGTCTTCCTCAGTTTGTGTGCGTGGAGAGCCTGGTCACGGCGATGGTGGACATGTACCCGTCTGTGTTCCGCCGTAAGAACCGCAGGGAGTTGTTCATTCTGTTCATCTCGGTGGTGTCCTTCTTCATGGGCCTCATCATGCTCACGGAGGTTTGTATAAAAGTATTTTTTTGTCTTTTGATAAATGTATTGCATTTGACATGACTTTAGATATTATTTTTTTTACTTATGCTTGGATTCAAACAGAACATGTGTTGTAACATTGATAGGTAACAAAGTAACTCTAACTTGTGAATACAGGGCGGCCTGTACGTCTTCCAGCTGTTCGACTACTACGCGGCGAGTGGGATGTGCCTCCTGTTCGTGTCCATCTTTGAAACCGTGTGCGTGGCTTGGATTTACGGTGAGACTTTGGGTGGACTAGATTGAACTAAAACCATCCTCAGGTCTGTTTTGACAAAGGAACTATGCTTTAACATGGATCATTTCCCTGTACTGGTTCTGGCTTTAGTGCGCATGTTTGTCCCCATGTCTGGGTGGGTTTCCTCCAGGTGCTCCGGTTTTCCACCAACATGTGGAGCTGGGCCTTGGGCTTCAGTGTGTCGCCCTCTCATCTCAGGAGAGTAAAGTACTAACTCTAACCTGCACTTTGGTTCCAGGCGCTGATCGTTTCTATGACAACATCGAGGACATGATCGGGTATCGTCCTGGTCCCATCATGAAATACTGCTGGTTATTCTTCACACCCGCCACATGCCTGGTGCGTTTCATTCAAATTATTTCAAATTAATGTCAAAGTCACTAAAGCAGTCCTTTTGGAGGACTCTACAAAGTTGTGGATTCACCAACAACAGATCAGAAAATCAAACAGTTTAAGCACAGGATACACATAGAGCCATCGGTCCATAGGCAGCGAGAAGACCACTGTCCAGAAATGTTGATAAATGTCCTTACATGACAAAAGTGGGAAACCTCGAGGCCCACATTGAGAGAGAGATCCACTCCCAAAGACAGATCGATCCAGGACTGAGGCTGTAGATCCAGGACTGAGGCTGTAGATCCAGGACTGAGGCTGTAGATCCAGGACTGAGGCTGTAGACCCAGGACTGAGGTTGTAGATCCAGAACTGAGGCTGTAGATCCAGGACTGAGGCTGTAGATGCAGGACTGAGGCTGTAGATCCAGGACTGAGGCTGTAGACCCAGGACTGAGGCTGTAGATCCAGGACTGAGGCTGTAGACCCAGGACTGAGGCTGTAGATCCAGGACTGAGGCTGTAGATCCAGGACTGAGGCTGTAGATCCAGGACTGAGGCTGTAGATCCAGGACTGAGGCTGTAGACCCAGGATTGAGGCTGTAGATCCAGAACTGAGGCTGTAGATCCAGGACTGAGGCTGTAGATCCAGGACTGAGGCTGTAGATCCAGGACTGAGGCTGTAGACCCAGGACTGAGGCTGTAGATCCAGAACTGAGGCTGTAGATCCAGGACTGAGGCTGTAGATCCAGGACTGAGGCTGTAGACCCAGGACTGAGGCTGTAGATCCAGGACTGAGGCTGTAGATCCAGGACTGAGGCTGTAGATCCAGGACTGAGGCTGTAGATCCAGGACTGAGGCTGTAGACCCAGGATTGAGGCTGTAGATCCAGAACTGAGGCTGTAGATCCAGGACTGAGGCTGTAGATCCAGGACTGAGGCTGTAGATCCAGGACTGAGGCTGTAGACCCAGGACTGAGGCTGTAGATCCAGAACTGAGGCTGTAGATCCAGGACTGAGGCTGTAGATCCAGGACTGAGGCTGTAGACCCAGGACTGAGGCTGTAGATCCAGGACTGAGGCTGTAGACCCAGGACTGAGGCTGTAGATTCAGGACTGAGGCTGTAGACCCAGGGCTTGTTTTCACCAGCCCTTCTCGTCTCTACTCTACCTGGTTGTGTCTCTAGTACGTTTTAGTATCTGGAAAATCACTGTCAGTTAGAACACTTTAGTACCAGCTCTGGATAGAACCAGGACCAAGAGGGACTAAAGTGGACAGGTGGAAATGCCCCCAATCTGAGTAGAGTAGAGTAGAGTAGAGTAGAGTAGAGTAGAGTAGAGTAGAGTAGAGTAGAGTAGAGTAGAACAGAACATGGCCATAGTAACCTATCTTTGACACATACTGTATGTTGTTGTCTCCAGGGGACGTTTGCCTTCGCTCTGATAAAGTACACGCCTCTGAAGTACAACGGCGTGTACGAGTACCCGTGGTGGGGGTACGGCATCGGCTGGGTCCTGGCCCTGTCCTCCATGTCCTGCATCCCGCTCTGGGCCCTGTTCAAACTCTGCACCACGCCTGGGACGCTCAGGGAGGTACGGCAAAGACAGGCACCGGCATTGTCCAAACCGGAGTACACACATCTGTAGAGAATACACAACACAGAAGAGGACGAAAAATAGGCTGAAATACACAGTTTGAAAAGTGTTGGATGAAGCAGGGGAGGCAACACAAGACAGATACATGCAAACACACACACACTCACACACACACACATGTACATACACACACACGCATGCATGCATACACATACACACATACAGGCAAGCACACACACATTCATACACACACACACAGACACAAAATAATCTTATTTGTCTTAGAAATTAAGTTAAATGTATTTGAAAAGGCTTCATGTTGTTATTTCCCAGAGAAAAGAATGAAAGTATGTGTTGTACTGCCCCCTGGTGGCTGCTTAAGTCAACACACCTCTGCAGCAGTTCAGTGAAAGACCAAATACCAGAGCAGATCAGTGGATTTGTATTTGGGCTTGGGCAAGACACTTAACCCCACTTTGCCTGAAGCCCCCACTGAAAGATCAAGGCTGTGATGTCACCGACAGATCAGCAACATCAGCGAGGGTCTGGTGCTCTGTGAATTGGGTGACAGCTCATTGCCACCCCCAACCCAGAAAGGGACAAAGGGGTTAGAAAATGGATGGACTTTTCAATGTTGTTGAATCACCAACAACAGATTAGAGAGTAGAACCTGTTTGATTCTCTAATCTGTTGTTGGTGATTCAACAACATTGAAGTCCATCCATTTTCTAACCCCTTTGTCATACAAAGACATCTAGATATTCTCAGTTTTTGAGCTGAACTTTTTCTGTGAACCATGGCGAAGACTTCTAAGACTTTTCGTTCCCTGCTGTTTGATAGACACAGAGGGACATCCAAGTCTTTTTAGTATTGATATTATTCTGATTTGGATGTTTCATGTCATTCCCAGCGTCTTGTCCGGTTGACCACGCCTTCTGCAGACTTACCCAAGACCCGTCAGGAGCAGGAGAGGCTGCTGTCCACGTTCAGAGCAGAGGGCGCCACACAGACTGCACCTGTGGAGAAGGACCACACAGAGACCAACTGCTGAACCTGAAGGATCCACAGAGACGAGAGAGAGACGAGAGAGAGACGAGAGCGAGACGAGAGAGAGACGAGAGAGAGACGAGAGAGAGACGAGAGAGAGACGAGAGAGAGACGAGAGAGAGACGAGAGAGAGACGAGAGAGAGACGAGAGCGAGACGAGAGAGAGACGAGAGCGAGACGAGAGCGAGACGAGAGAGAGACGAAAGAGAGACGAGAGCGAGACGAGAGCGAGACGAGAGCGAGACGAGAGAGAGACGAGAGAGAGACGAGAGAGAGACGAAAGAGAGACGAGAGCGAGACGAGAGAGAGACGAAAGAGAGACAAGAGCGAGACGAGAGCGAGACGAGAGCGAGACGAGAGAGAGACGAGAGAGAGACGAGAGCGAGACGAGAGCGAGACGAGCGCGAGACGAGCGCGAGACGAGAGCGAGACGAGAGCGAGACGAGAGCGAGACGAGAGCGAGACGAGAGAGAGACGAGAGCGAGACGAGAGCGAGACGAGAGCGAGACGAGAGCGAGACGAGAGCGAGACGAGAGCGAGACGAGAGAGAGACGAGAGCGAGACGAGAGCGAGACGAGAGCGAGACGAGAGCGAGACGAGAGAGAGACGAGAGAGAGACGAGAGCGAGACGAGAGCGAGACGAGAGAGAGACGAGAGAGAGACGAGAGCGAGACGAGAGAGAGACGAGAGAGAGACGAGAGAGACACACTGTCCTCGTCAGAGGGGATGGAGAGAACATGCAAAACCAACAATCTCTGGTCTCTCTCTACTCTCTCTAGTCTCTCTCCAATCTCTTTCTGGTCTCCCTCTGGTCTCCCTCTGGTCTCTCTCTACTCTCTCTAGTCTCTCTCCAATCTCTCTCTGGTCTCTCTCCGGTCTCTCTGGTCTCTCTCTGGTCTCCCTCTAGTCTCTCTCCAGTCTCTCTCTGGTCTCTCCAGTCTCTCTCTGGTCTCTCTCTGGTCTCTCTCTGGTCTCTCCAGTCTCTCTCTGGTCTCTCTCTGGTCTCTCTCTGGTCTCTCTCTGGTCTCTCTCTGGTCTCTCTCTAGTCTCTCTCTAGTCTCTCTCTGGTCTCTCTCTGGTCTCTCTCTGGTCTCTCTCTGGTCTCACTCCGGGCTCTCTCTCTGGTCTCTCTCTCTGGTCTCTCTCTGGTCTCTCTCTGGTCTAATAAGTACTAAGCTGCTAATGGTACGTTGAAGATTAGAGAGAGAGTGATGTATATTTAGGAACATAGAGTTACTAAAAAACCTCTAACATTTCTGAGGACAATGAAGACCACTTTCAGATGTTCAAGATACAACTATATGTGTGTGTGGGATAGCATAGAGCAGCATAAAGCAGCATAGAGCAGCACAGAGCAGTACAGACTAGCACAGACCAGCACAGACCAGAACAGAACAGAACAGCACAGAGCAGTACAGAGCAGAACAGAGCAGAACAGAACAGCACAGAGCAGTACAGAGCAGAACAGAACAGAACAGCACAGAGCAGTACCGAGCAGAACAGAGCAGAACAGAGCAGCATAGAGCAGAACAGAGCAGAACAGCACAGAGCAGAACAGCACAGAGCAGTACAGCACAGAGCAGTACAGAGCAGAACAGCACAGAGCAGAACAGCACAGAGCAGCACAGAGCAGAGCAGCACAGAGCAGTACAGCACAGCACAGAGCAGAACAGCACAGAGCAGAGCAGCACAGAGCAATACAGAACAGCACAGAGCAGTACAGCCAAGCCCCGGCGATCCAAGATGGCGCCCTATTCAAATGAATGGTTGTGCTCAGTGGCGCTTTGTGACGGCATGGGGGCTGAAAGATTAGCGGAAGTCGCCTGAAACTCGCAAAGATGTATGGGAAACTCTCAAAGATCTATGGGAAACTCTCAAAGATCTATGGGAAACTCTCAAAGATCTATGGGAAACTCGCAAAGATCTATGGGAAACTCTCAAAGATCTATGGGAAACTCTCAAAGATCTATGGGAAACTCTCAAAGATCTATGGGAAACTCTCAAAGATCTATGGGAAACTCTCAAAGATCTATGGGAAACTCTCAAAGATCTATGGGAAACTGGCCTGTATTTGGGCATCTTCTGGTCCTCCCGGTTCTGTGCAGTGGATGATCTCCCATGATGCTTTGCGCCAAACACGCGTGTGTGGGTCTCACACCGGGTCTCACGCACGTGCACAGAGGGGCTCGGCCGCGCTCTGACCAATCAGAGCAGTTCATCAGAGCGGGAGTTAGAGCGAGAGCCAGAGGAGCAGAGTTTGTGCCACTAAAGTGTGGATTTAAACAAAACCGAAGGATTTAAGAAGAAAAAAAGGTCAGGATGACAAGGGACACTAAAATCCCCACAAAATCTTCCATCCATCCATCCATCCATTTTCTTCCGCTTTATCCGTTGCCGGGTCGCGGGGGCAGCAGTCTAAGCAGAGACGCCCAGACTTCCCTATCCACACACACCTCCTCCAGCTCGTCCGGGGGGACCCCAAGGCGTTCCCAGGCCAGCTGAGAGACATAGTCTCTCCAGCGTGTCCTGGGTCTTCCCCGGGGCCTCCTCCCGGTGGGACGTGCCCGGAACACCTCCCCAGGAAGGCATCCAGGAGGCATCCTGAACAGATGCCCGAGCCACCTCAACTGGTTCTTCTCGACGTGGAGAAGCAGCGGCTCTACTCCGAGCTCCTCCCGTGTGACCGAGCTCCTCACCCTATCTCTAAGGGAGCAGCCACCCTGCGGAGGAAGCTCATTTCGACCGCTTGTATCCGCGATCTCGTTCTTTCGGTCATTACCCAAAGCTCATGACCATAGGTGAGGGAGGGAACGAAGATTGACCGGTAAATTGAGAGCTTTGACTTTCGGCTCAGCTCCCTCTTTACCACAACGGTCCGATACAGCTCTGACTGCAGACGCTGCTCCCTCTTCACCACAACGGTCCGACACAGAGACCGCATCACTGCGCACGCTGCACCGATCCGCCTGTCAATCTCACGCTCCATCCTCCCCTCACTCGTGAACAAGACCCCGAGATACTTGAACTCCTCCACTTGAGGAAGGACCTCTCCACCCACCTGAAGAGGGCAAGGCACCTTTTTCCGGTCGAGCACCATGGCCTCGGATTTGGAGGTGCTGATTCTCATCCCAGCCGCTTCACACTCGGCTGCAAACCGTCCCAGTGCATGTTGCAGGTCCTGGTTCGTTGGAGCCAGCAGGACGACATCATCCGCAAAAAGTAGAGATGAAATCCTGTGGTTCCCGAACCGGACCCCCTCCGGCCCCTGGCTGCGCCTAGAGATTCTGTCCATAAATACAGTGAACAGAACCGGTGACAAAGGGCAGCCCTGTCGGAGGCCAACATTCACCGGGAACAGGTCTGACTTACTGCCGGCAATGCGAACACAGCTCTGGCTCCTGTCATACAGGGATCGGATGGCCCTCAGCAGAGGACCTCCGACCCCGTACTCCCGGAGAACCCCCCAAAGGACACCCCGGGGAACACGGTCGAACGCCTTCTCCAAATCCACAAAGCACATGTGGACAGGTTGGGCGAACTCCCATGAACCCTCGAGTATCCGATGGAGAGTATAGAGCTGGTCCAGTGTTCCGCGACCGGGACGAAAACCACACTGCTCCTCCTGAATCCGAGATTCGACCATCGGTCGTAGCCTCCTCTCCAGTACCTTGGAGTAGACCTTACCGGGGAGGCTGAGGAGTGTGATCCCACGATAATTGGAACACACACTCCGGTCCCCCTTCTTGTAGAGAGGGACCACCACCCCGGTCTGCCACTCCATTGGCACCGCCCCCGATCGCCACGCGATGTTGCAGAGACGTGTCAGCCAAGACAGTCCTACAACATCCAGAGACTTTAGATAGTCAGATACTCATCCACTCCCACCACCTTGCCACCATGGAGGCTGCCAACCACCTTGGTGACCTCGGCCAGGGAGATGGAAGTATCCGCCCCAACATCCTCAGCCTCTGCCTCCTGGACGGAGGACGTGACGGGGGGATTGAGGAGAACCTCGAAGTATTCCTTCCACCGCCCGACAATATCCCCAGTCGAGGTCAGCAGCCCTCCACCCGCACCATACACGGTGTTGGCAAAGAACTGCTTCCCCCTCCTGAGGCGCCGGACGGTTTGCCAGAACCTCTTCGAGGCCGACCGATAGTCATGCTCCATGGACTCTCCGAACTCCTCCCAGTCCCGGGTTTTTGCCTCTGCAACAGCCCGGGCCGCGGCACGTTTGGCCTGCTGGTACTGGACAGCTGCCTCAGGAGTCCCACGAACCATCATTGCTAGATAGGACTCCTTCTTCAGCCTGACGGCATCCCTTACTGCCGGTGTCCACCACCGGGTTCGGGGATTGCCGCCGGGACCAGCACCAGAGACCTTGCGACCACAGCTACGAGCCGCCGCATTGGCGATAGAGGAAGAGAACATGGTCCACTCAGACTCGATGTCCCCCTCCTCTGCCGGGACCTGGGAGAAGCTCTCCCGGAGGTGTGAGTTGAAAGTCCGTCTAACAGGGGGCTCAGCAAGACTTTCCCAGCAAACCCTCACTACACGCTTGGGCCTGCCAGGTCTGACCGGCCTCCTGCCCTGCCAGCGGATCCAACTCACGACCAGGTGATGATCGGTTGACAGCTCCGCCCCTCTCTTCACCCGAGTGTCCGAGACACGCGGTCGAAGGTCAGATGATACGACTACAAAGTCGATCATCGACCTCCGGCCTAGGGTGTCCTGGTGCCACGTGCACTGGTGGACACCCTTGTGCTCGAACATGGTGTTCGTGATGGACAAACCGCGACTGGCACAGAAGTCCAACAACTGAACACCGCTCGGGTTCAGATCAGGGGGGCCGTTCTTCCCGATCACCCCTCTCCAAGTGTCACTGGCATTTCCCACATGGGCGTTGAAGTCCCCCAGGAGAATAACGGAGTCCCTGGGCGGTGCACTGTCCAGTACCCCTCCCAAGGACTCCAAGAAGGCCGGGTACTCTGCACTACCGTTAGGCCCGTAGGCCGTCACAACAGTGAGAGACTTGTCCCCCACCCGGAGGCGGAGGGACGCGACCCTCTCATTCACCGGGGAGAACTCCAACACGTGGCGGCTGAGATGGGGGGCAATGAGAATGGCCACCCCAGCTCGCCGCCTCTCCCCGCGGGAAACACCAGAAAAGTGGAGCGTCCAACCCCTCTCAAGGAGTTGGGTTCCAGAGCCCAAGCTGTGTGTGGAGGTGAGGCCGACTATCTCTAGTCGGTATCGCTCAACCTCCCCCACAAGCTCGGGCTCCTTCCCCCCCAGTGAGGTAACGTTCCACGTCCCAAGAGCCAGATGTTGGGTGTGTGGACTGGGTCGTCGAGGTCGCAGCCTTCGACTGCTGCCCAGTCCTCTCTGCACCTTGCCACCACGGACCCCTCTGCAGGTGGTGGGCCCACAGGAGGGACTGCCCACGTCATCCCTTCGGGCTGAGCCCGGCCGGGCCCCGTGGGCTAAGGCCCGGCCACCAGACGCTCGCTTGCGAGCCCCGACCCCAGGCCTGGCTCCAGGGTGGGGCCCCGGCTGCGCCATGCCGGGCGACGTCACGGTTCTCGTTGTCGTGCTGTCCATGGTTGGCTTCGGACTGCGCTTCGTCTGACTCGTCACTTGAGACCTGTCTGCCATGGGAGACCCTACCAGGGGCATGAAGCCCCAGACAGCATAGCTCCCAGGATCATCCGAGTGCTCAAACTCCCCCACAACGTTAAGGTGGCAGTCCAAGGGGGGACAAAATCTGACCTTTATTAAAGCTGTAGGTTCTCTGTCAGGTTCTCTGTCAGCTGAGGTTGACCTGTTTTAATATGCATTGAGTTCTACTGGGGTAAAATTTCTGGGTAGCCCAGGTGAATTTAGTCTGGTTCAGTCTGCAGTACCGCGAGAATCCCCCGAGCACATGAGTTATTCAGCTACAAGCTAGTAATACCCTATCCAGTTATTATAATAGACCCATGAGAACAGTACAGAACAGTACAGAGCAGAATAGTGCAGAACAGTACAGAACAGTACAGAGCAGTACAGAGCAGTACAGAGCAGTACAGAGCAGTACAGAGCAGTACAGAGCAGTACAGAACAGCACAGAACAGCACAGAGCAGCACAGAGCAGTACAGAGCAGCACAGAACAGCACAGAACAGCACAGAACAGAACAGAGCAAGGCCCTCGTGCAGGTGTCGTGCAAACAGTAATTTCGCAGCCTCCTGTGAGTTACAGACCTTAGTGAGATTTTGTTTAAAGTCCATTACAATGTTTTCCACTGTTCTTCTTCTCTTGATTGTCTTGATTGATAATGTGATCTTTTTATATTTTGAATTACACTTTTGTAAATAAAATAAACGTATGGATTTATACTCGTTTCTTCACTCTAATGTACGAGTAAAGAACAGAATTTTGACTGTGAACTTTCGGGTCAGAATTATAACATGTTTTTCTGTGACATCACAGACAACAAAAGGAGACCAGAGAGAGGCCAGAGAGAGACCAGAGAGAGACCAGAGAGAGACCAGAGAGAGACCAGAGAGAGACAAAAGAGAGACAAAAGAGAGACCAGAGAGAGGCCAAAGAGAGACCAGAGAGAGACCAGAGAGACCAGAGAGAGACCAGAGAGAGACCAGAGAGAGACCAGAGAGAGACCAGAGAGACCAGAGAGAGACCAGAGAGAGACCAGAGAGAGACCAGAGAGAGGCCAGAGAGAGGTTAGAGAGAGGCCAGAGAGAGACCAGAGAGAGGCCAGAGAGAGGTCAGAGAGAGGCCAGAGAGAGACCAGAGAGAGGCCAGAGAGAGGTCAGAGAGAGGTCAGAGAGAGGTCAGAGAGAGACCAGAGAGAGACCAGAGAGAGGCCAGAGAGAGACCAGAGAGAGGCCAGAGAGAGACCAGAGAGAGGCCAGAGAGAGACCAGAGAGAGGTTAGAGAGAGGCCAGAGAGAGACCAGAGAGAGACCAGAGAGAGACCAGAGAGAGACCAGAGAGAGACAAAAGAGAGACAAAAGAGAGACCAGAGAGAGACCAAAGAGAGACCAGAGAGAGACCAGAGAGACCAGAGAGAGACCAGAGAGAGACCAGAGAGAGACCAGAGAGAGACCAGAGAGAGACCAGAGAGAGGTTAGAGAGAGGCCAGAGAGAGACCAGAGAGAGGCCAGAGAGAGGTTAGAGAGAGGCCAGAGAGAGACCAGAGAGAGGCCAGAGAGAGGCCAGAGAGAGACCAGAGAGAGGCCAGAGAGAGACCAGAGAGAGACCAGAGAGAGACCAGAGAGAGACCAGAGAGAGACCAGAGAGAGACCAGAGAGAGACAAAAGAGAGACAAAAGAGAGACCAGAGAGAGACCAAAGAGAGACCAGAGAGAGACCAGAGAGACCAGAGAGAGACCAGAGAGAGACCAGAGAGAGACCAGAGAGAGACCAGAGAGAGACCAGAGAGAGACCAGAGAGACCAGAGAGAGACCAGAGAGAGACCAGAGAGAGACCAGAGAGAGACCAGAGAGAGGCCAGAGAGAGGTTAGAGAGAGGTTAGAGAGAGGCCAGAGAGAGACCAGAGAGAGGCCAGAGAGAGGTTAGAGAGAGGCCAGAGAGAGACCAGAGAGAGGCCAGAGAGAGGCCAGAGAGAGACCAGAGAGAGGCCAGAGAGAGGTGTTGTAGAATTACATACCCCAATGAAGGAGAAAGCTCAAAGGTATTTGTCTTAATCAGGAGCGTAAGTTTATTGTACACACGTGCGGAGAGCTCACATACACAAAGCAGCGTCCATAAGCTCTGACGCGGCCAGACCAGGTTCCTGTTTACATAGACAACACATGAAGACAGTCACGCCCACAAAAGATGGGAGGGGATCACCAGTACAGGAGGCGCATCCAGAGGCGAGGCGCCTAGTCCGGGGGGAGGCAATCAGACCGTGCCATAGAGATGCAAACAGAGAGACAATGGACATGCAGGATGTAGAGATGCAGACATACAGATGCAAGATGCAAAAGGGACAAGGGTGAGACAGTCATTGTCTGTAGGTGCGGGGGGAAGCCCGGCTCCTTCCTGCAGGTTAATTGAATAGAACCAGCGGGGGGGGGTGAGTTGGCGTCCCCGAGTCTAGGCCGCTTGCCATCACACTCCTCTCCCGTGATAATGTAGAAACCCCAGTTTTACAGAGATCACATTCAGGTGGGTGAGTATTAACCTTGGTCCCTGAGCAAAACAAGTGGAAAAATAAAAACAAGGTAAACAAGAAAGAAAAACGTTAGACAAAGTCATCGTCCGAATCGCTGATATAATCAGGATCGGAGTTCAGTGGGACAGCGGCCAGGTCCGCCTCGGGGTCTTTGTATTGAATGGACACAAAGTGAGTGGATACCATTTTACCAACGGCCCGAAACACCATAGGTAATACACATGAAAATAAAATCATAACAGTCAATAGGGCTAAACCAAGATTAATGAGCACACTCCGCCAGGAGGACAGGAGCCAGTCCAGACCGTGAGGAGTGTCCGTGACATTGTCCGCTTGCATGGCGTCCCGGAGTCTAGTCAGATTGGCTATGCCCTGTTGGATAAGACCTCCGTCCTCATCATTAGCCGGAATATATGAAGACAATACTAACATAATAAACACGGTCAGCACGGAAAGTACTGTCAGCGTGGCCAGCATAATAGACCAATTAACTGTTGATAAACAAAGACGGCTGCGCGCGCATCTTGGCAACGAGTATGGAGGCTAGCGGCGGCTTGTCAAACTACGTCAGTGCGTTATCAATGAAAGATCGCGAAGCGTACTTTAAAAAGCTCACTTTAACAAATGGCAAGCGGCTCCCAGATCCTTGTACTGTTACTGAATGGGAACATGACGTTAGTAAGTGGCCCGGTATTCAGTGGCCCGATATTTACCTGTATTTGGTTGAAAAACCTAGCGTGTACACACTAGAGAAGCTGCGAGCATACAAATCTCTTGATGCGTATGACTACGTAATTTGCGGACATGTACAGGAGGTGAGATATCGCGACATCGATAAGATTTTTGTGTCCTAAAGTCTGAAATACTACCCAGCCAAAGGCAAGGGCACAAGACTATAATGTATGAGGCTTGGGTGATTATCAACAAAGTCGAGAACTACATACTCACAGCAAACTGCACCTGTATGGCAGGGTAAGTAACCTGTCAGTTGTTTTTTCAGAAGGCAAATGGTTTTAATTTTCAGAACCTGATAGAACTTGGTCAGGATACATTCAATAATGTTTATTCATTTAGAAACTATGAACATCTTGGTAATATTTGTTTTTTGTTTTGTTTTTTCGAGCCCTGTTTGTAATGGTAACTTACAGTATGTATTGGAAAAGGCTATATACATTTTATGTCTGTTTACATTACAGTCTTGCATCATGCTGCAGCCATGCAGCTGCGATTCTATTCAAAATAGAGCTCTGTGTCCGAATGGGACGGACGGAGAAAGCAGCTGTTACTTCTGGTCTGTGCATGTGGAAACAGAGTAGGAAAGAAGTCAAGCCAGCTCCACTGAGTGAAATAAGCTTCCACAAACCAAAGACGCTAGCCAGAAAGTTTCCAGCAGCTTCAAAAATCGCTCAGAAGAACATCATCACACCCAGAGGCATGTATTAGTAATTAGTTCATAAAGGCTAGATAAGTTTCACATTTTATGTATGTTTCTTGGGCTCCAGACTAGCTTTTACCAGGAGCACAGTTCACACACACATTTAACATTTATTTCTCCATGAACATTTGTCTACCACCTCTAATGGCAAATTACAGATTATTTGAGTCTCCCCTTCCATGTTTTATCCATTTTCTTGCACAATTTCAAAATTTAGGTGCAAAATACAGTACATCCCATGGGCAGCTTGTGGAAGCCTACATTTTAAAGGCTCTCCTCGCTCTTTAAAATGTGGATATTATTCAGCATAATAATTGTCTTTATGTTGCTCTTTGTCACCATCAGTGCTGACAGATGAGGACATACAGGAGCTGCGGACTGTGGCACCAGATGCTGCTGTAGTGACAAGTCTGGAGAACAGCGACACAGATACTGCATCATCTGACAATGATGAAGAGGAGCATCCAGGCTTACCTGAGCCCTTGACTGCTTTATTTAATGCATCAAACAGGGACCTATCACCTCAGGAATTACAGGATAAAAGCAAGGAGACATTTAACAGACTAAAAACTAAACTACAGCCTCATCAGTGGGAAAGACTGGAATCTGTTACCCGGCAACAATCAAAGTCAAGGGAGTGGCACATCCATAGAGCTGGTCGGATCACAAGCACCAAATTTCATCATGCATCCACAACTGACAAGATTAGCGAAACATATTTGATGGATATAATGCATTACAGCACACAAACATTAAATGTCCCACCTGTGGTGTGGGGACAAAATATGGAGGAAACGGCACGACAAGCATACACTGTTTTCATGGCTAAAAGTCATGCAGAATTCAGTGTAAGGTCCTGTGGCTTAGTAGTGCCTCCTTCTGAGCCACACCTTGGCTCATCACCAGATGGCATAGCTAGCTGCACCTGCTGCGGCAAAGGTGTGGTCGAAATAAAGTGTCCATACAAATACTGTCACAACTTTCATGGATGCACACAAGACAGACAGTTTTGTTTGGACAAATCGTACGCTTTAAAACAATCACACCCATACTACTACCAGA